GAGAAAGACCAAAATTACGGAGTGAAAATCGACCCCATAAGTTGTTTAAACACAATTTCGCTTGCGTCCTCTTCCCTTTATTAAACATCATCTTCTCCCTTTCTATATTAATCCCAAACATTTCCATACATTCCTTCATAAACTTATCCTCCTTCAACTTGTCCCCTTTGATGGTGTTGTCAAAGCCTGATGAGTGAATTTTTTGGGCCATAAATTCACTAATGTAGGGTCTGAAGAGCGTGTCGTCATGTTGATTAAATTCCAGCACTCTAAAAAGTTTGGTGACCACATACCCCTCCTTGAGGGCCTCATTTAGCTCAATAGAGGTACAAGTGCTAACCCACCCTCTTTGTTGGTCGGTGTGAGGGCAGCAATAATTTTCGTCGACATCTCCTTTAGGGTGCTCTTTTGCACAAGTAGAACACAGGGGAAATAGCAATCTTTCGTCATCATCTTCCCCAATTTTCATAGGTAGGACGGGGATATCAATATTCCGTGGTGGTATGACGAATAATTTTAGAAGAGCAAGTTGATATGTGTTGTCTTCCGGTTTAATCCAGTTGACATCTTTGTTGATAACGTGGACTTCCGGGTGTCCAACCGGATATCTTGTTGAAACATTAATAAACGGGTAGAGGGAGGTGACATCGTAGTAAGAAATTTTTTGGCCCGGCTCAGCCTTGTGGAAGAGTTTGAGAGGACCAGTCCTTCCCCCATAGAAGGCCTCTCTAATATTTATTGGTCCATCATCCAGGTATTTTTTAAACATCTTCCTCATTTCATAATCCTTTGAAACCATATTACGTATTTCACATTCCCAATATACTTCCACATCCACTCCCAAATTCCTAATAAATTTTAGCCGTTGTTGGTCCTTCTCCCGTTGTTTTTCAGCTGTGAGACCTGTTGGAAGCTTAAGGTTGTTGTCAGGATAGCACTTAATGCATCCATGCCAGCAGCAACCGTTGACTTCAATAGCCAATTTCTTTTCCTCAACCCATCCATCTAACTTATATTTACCCATCTTTTTCTCTCCATTTTTCGAGTGGGCATTCCTCACTTCTACATTATTTTTCTCAGCATACCATTTGAGGAACTTGAGGGCAAGTTTACTTTGATTGTCCGCGTTGTCGTACCCTCTTTCCGGGACAATCCCAACATGATTTACCTTGAGGTGATTCATGCGGAAATGTTTCATGCAGGCTGAAGCTATAGTCATGGACTCCCGCAAAACATCAAGTCCATTGGAAACCTCCAAAAATTCTTTTCTGAAGGCAATGAGTGCAGCCATTAAAATATCGACATCATTTGTACAATAGGCTGCTAGTTGTTCGACCAAATTGAAAGGTTCGTTTTTATGTTGGTCGAACCATTTATCGAACTGTGCCCTTTTTTCAGGCATCATCCCATTAGCAAGGTAATCTTCCTTTGTTGGGTATATTTCTTTCCCATAATTGCTCGGATTGTTGGCCAGATGAGGAAAGAAAGGTTTATCTTCCACTTTAAGGTCAAAAGCAGGTACAAGAGAAGCCAAGGGCATAGGCATTAAATTGTATGTATCGTGAAAGATGACCCAACATTTCTTATCATTCTTCACCTTCATTTCATACATTTTGTTGCCATTCTTGATCATATCTGGAGTTAGTCCCTGGAGATATAATGCTTTGAAGACCAAAACCATATCAAACCTTCCTCCAAAATGAGAGAAGGCTACCGTATCAGTAGAAAAATCGGTGATCCAGGCTACAAAATCGGTTAGAGGATCATTTGTAATATTTTGTTGATCCACTGATGTATTAGAGAAAGGTCGATGGGAGAAGGTTATAGTTCGGCTCTCTCCGCAAACAGTGCAATCGTTGATTACCTTACTAATACATTCGGGGCAGTTGATTTTTGCAGAGATAAAATTGACTTCGTGTAGCATTCCCTTTTCACCTTGCTTGTGTTGCATGGTTTCAATGTCAAAGGCGATGATCCGGTACGGTTTGGGCTTCCTGGGAGTTAGAGGTTTAATGTAACAACCTCTTTTTGGGTCGTGGAAACTAAAACATGTGTTGCAATACCGTTCTGAACACACATGACCATTTCTCCCATTCTTGTTGTTGTCCTTCACGTACCATATCACTCCACATTTCTCACATTTCTTAGAGTTGTGGCAAAAGTTAGATTTCAGGTGATGATTGTAACAGTCTTCATTATTAAATTCCTTATAACAACCATTGCACCGTTTTGAGTAGTTATCTAAAGGCTGACATGGGAAATTAGGTCCAATCCTGGAGCAATTTTGACATTTTGATGTGCAGGTGATAGAATGATCTTTTGGGCGGTTGTAAATTATCTCACATGATAAGCAATAAGGTTTACCAAATAAATCGCTTGCCCTTCTAACTCCATCAAAATGATTATTGTTAAAATAAAGAAGAATTGGAGTAGTGTAATTTTCATCCCCATATTTAAAAATAGGTTTTTCATCTAATTCTCCAAAAATAAAAACTTTAAACAGGCCTTCGTTAATTGAATTCCAATAATCAACCACTTTGGGAACCCAGTTCTGTGCATCATAGCTTGGTTGATCAAGAGGAGCTCTTACATTTGCCATAAGATTTTTGGCATCTCCCTCTAGTCGGTGAATCCCTTTTCTGTTGTGTATATAGTCATAGAATTTTTGTTTTGTCCAAGAACATATCGAATAGACATATGAAGCCATCAATGCGTAGAATAGGCAAAAGTTGTCGGTATTGCGTATTTTGATCAAGGCTTTATCATTTATCCGACGAGTATATTTACCACCACTACCATTAATCGAACGTGTTGTAGGTAGATGTTTTTTATCAATGGTGGTAACTGAGACTGTAAAGGGTTCCCCCCAAAGCATACCATTATCTTGTTTCTTCGATTGCGCCACCTTTAGGAATTGATTAAGTATGGCGTCGATAGTGTTGTTGCTGATTTCCCTGATGGGGATCCAAATATCTGTTTCTAATAATTGACTGCTGACAATACACCCGAGTTGATCGGGTTCAAGATGATGTTCACGACTTGTAGATATTGTTTTATCGATACATGACTGGAATATTTCCTGGAGTAGGCTTTCGGGGTTTGTAGGTAATTTATTAATTAGGAATTTCGTAGTCAGCTTGGTCATGTTAAATTTGCGGGTGATCTTGGTTTCTTCACCCAAATGTTTTACATAATCACCAGCACCTTTTTGTAATAGATTATCAATGAAGAAATGTCGTGCTTTCTTCGAAGGTGGAGGAGACATTAATAATAAAATAAATTAAAAATTAGAGACTAATTCAAAAGTATTAAATTTCTTAAAATTTTCAAGAATGAAGAAAGAAATCGAAAATCCTTTACTTTTAAGGATCCATAAAATATTTGATGTGTTGTAAAATCACTGAAATTCCATTTCATTATTTTCCAGTCGGGGAGGAAGTTAAATTTGCATAGAGGAAATGCAAAAGAAGAGGATTTCGTAATACTTTTAAACTTTATTTCGGATCCTTTTATTTTCAGCTTTGAATCTCTTGGGAATTAAAGAGGGAATTTTTAGAAAAGGAAAGAGATATTTATGAAATTTGCATAAAAGAATTTTTATGCATCTATACCAATTTTTAAGTTCCTTCTTTACAATCCTATACTCTATTTGAAGTAAGGAAGGCTGTCACGAAGGGTAACTAAAAGAAAATTTGCATAAAGTAAGAATTTCAAGATTTAGAGGGAAATATTAGTAAATAAAAAGAAGGGAATTTAAAAATATATATTAAGATTAGGTTAATTGCTGAGACGACGAGTAATTGTTGAATTTGTTTTTTAAATTTATTTATTTTAATTTATTTACCATAATTTATTTTTATTTTCTATTAAAGTATTTTTTCTTTTATTTTGGGTTATTAATAGAGTGAGGGTAATTGTTTGATTATACATACTTTTTATTTCCATTTATTTTTTATTTCTATTACTTTTTAATTTTTCCTCTCATTTTCCTTTTTCTCATTTTTCCTTCCTATTACAGTATTTTTTAATTTACACCCGTTTTTTATTTTCGGGAGGCAAAAGCTTTAATTTTTACAAAGCGAAAATATTGCGTAATTTTTTCGGCCGAGGGAAAAAAGAGAGCGTGGAGCATTTGCATAATTTGGTGGATATCAAAATGTTTAGGTGGGCTAAACAAAAGAAAAGCCCTATTGGTTTTGGCTAGTGAGGTGGGTGGAGGAAGGAGAAAGAAGGAAAAGCTTCAAAAGCTTTTGGTTTGTGGGGTGAGTAAGGGAAGCAAAAAAAAGCTTCAATAGCTTTTGGTTAGTGGGTGGGTGGGTGGGGGAGGGAAGCTTCAATAGCTTTTGTTTTGGAGGGATAACAAAAGAGAGAGGAAAAGCCTCAAAGGCTTTTGGTTAGTAGGGTGGGTGGGGAAGGAAAAGGAAATACCCTCACACCTTTTGATTGATTAACTAGAGTGATTTTTGACAGGCGACTCGGAGGGGGGGTTAACTACTTATTTTTTTAAAGAATTTTTTCTTAGACGTCAATTGCGTGTATTTGAGGTTAACCAAGTTTTGCCTCGTTTTGTTACTTTTGTCCAAATTGATCAATCTATTGCCCAACAAAAACCTCCAGAATGCTTTGTTTCTTTTCGTTTGCAAAGTAGAATAGATCAACTTCGTCTTTGGATTTGCGAAAATTTTGTTTTTGTTGATGAAGAAAAATTGCAAAATGAGCCTAGTTTAGTCTCTGAAAGTGAGGGAAACGATGGGGGAAAGAAATTACAGCTTTACTTTTTTTGTACAAGAAATCAAGAAATGCTTTACATTAATTGGGATTTAAATAGGTAGATTGTTATATAATCTGATGTATATAGGATAAGACCCTTTAAAATCACAAATTAAAAAAACATTCTTTCAGTGGAGAATTTCAATTTAGACACAATGATATCCAAAATGTAACAGATTTAATTCAGGTTTAAAGCAAAAAATACATAACAAAAAAATATTCTTTAGTCAATGTGTGCAAATATGAATGTGAGAGAATTGCGTAGTAGGGCTCATTTCCCTTATATTTTGGCAAATGTGAAAAATATTGTTGAATCGGTTTGCCTTCTTTAGTACAGACGATTCGAATGAAGTTTTGTAGGGAGGAATTTTCGAATTTTTCTGAAATTCATAAACTAAAATAAAACTTGGATTCTTTTTTTCGTTCGGAAAAACGCGGAGCAACCCATAACCTGACAGTCAGTCCATGTCAAGGATTAAAAAATCGGATTAATACAAAAATAAATTTTGTCTAAGTTTTAGTTCGGATTCTGTAATTCAAGTCTTAAATTAGGATTCCCACAAAATTTAGATGGATGAACGTTACCAAGTAAACGAAAGATTGTCTAGTGAAATGGTCGAACGCATAAATTTTGTGAGAGAATGTGTTGTTAGGGCAGAGGATATGCTTGTTATTCGAGATTTGTGAGAATACTGAAATTATTTTTTTTACTTAAAATTATTTTTAATATATAGTTCTGATGCAAGAAAACTTTATGGTCGATTAACAATATTAAATAAAGAATTAATTGGACAAAAAGTGAAATGAGAATATTTTTAAATTAAAAATAAAAATATTTTTAGACGGTTAGAATGGCAGCACGTAAAGAATTGCTAGACGGACTTAAATTTTTAAATGTTTCAATTGATCAGTTTGCCCGTTTACGAGTTGGAGAACCCTCACATTCTCTTATAAAAGAGTGTAGGAAAGCTATTGCGAACGATAATTTAGAAGCTCTTCCAAAACTATTTGAATTCGGTGTTTAAACTTGGATTTGATAATTGTTTGTTAATTAAGAAAAAGAACAGTTACTATGTATTTTTTGAATTGTTAAAATGTGAAAATGAAAATGTAGAGGAAATATTATCTATGTATACGTATTCTCTATCGGAAAATATTTTTATCATTAAAAAATACTTATGAATTTGTTTCTAATTCTAGTTTTTGTTTTGTTGAATTTTTGTCTTTCTTGTGACAATGGACTTCTTTTCTTGATATGAAAATTAATAGAATTTCTCAAGAAAATTTGTAAATATTCTGTATTTAAGAGCATGGCGACTAATATCGCCATAAACTAATTCCCCTCATAAGAATGAGAGAAAGTTTCCGTTTTATAGGGAAAGTACGGTATTCTGTAGCATGGCGCCGAAAGGTACATGTTTAAAAATTTAAATGTCAAATTGTTTAGGCTTCAAAATGCCATTAAGGTTCAGGATGAAGAAATTGCGAGTTTCTTTTGCATGATTTTATATTCAAACAAGTCTAATAAAATTTTATTTCAGAAATCAATTTTGACCTTCGCGTCATTTTTGACCTAAAAATTTTCCTCTAAATTTCCTTCTAGTATTTTGTTTTTGACATTTTAATCAATAAATATTAAATTTTATGCAAAACAACAAAAATTCTTCTGAACAAATACTTGTAAGACGTTTGCGTCCAATTTATGATGCCATCGACGCTGGACAATACAAAAAAGCAATATTAGAGGCAGACAAAGTTTTAAAGAAACATTCACAAATTAATGGAGCTAGAGTAATTTATTTATATTCTTTTGTAATTAATTTATAAAATTTTAGGCTCTTAAAGCTTTAGCACTTATTAGAACAGGCAAATTTTTAATTTATTATTTAGAATATTTTTATAATTTTAGACCGAACTAATGAAGCTTTAAATATTTTGAGGAACCTCGAACCAGATCTCGCTGAGGAAGAATTTAATGAAAACACAATTCAAGCAGTTTGCCATTGCTATAAAGTTTGTTATAAATTTTTTAAAAATTAAAATCTAATGTAAAATATGGCAATATTGAACCTGACAACCCCATTTTTTCTCTCCATGTTTTTTCCTATATATGTACAAAATGGTCAGACATTTTCCTTTCCTCGATCCCAATTGCCATTCTATATTTTACCTACAAATAATCTAAAGCAATTAATTTTTATTCCTTCTTGGATCGAAGTAAGGAAAATTGAAGGAAGAAGTCTGATCATTCTGCAAATATGAATGATAAAATTGGGAAGGAAAAAATGGGGTCTGCCAGGTCCATTATTATTAAAAATATTTAGGAGTTGAATAGTCCAGAACGAATTGTTACACTTTATTCTTTATTGACCAAAAAATATCCTAAAAACGAAAAATTGGCGCGAGAATTGTTTTTTGCACATATCAGGACAAAAGACTTTCGACACCAGCAACAAATTGCCACTCAACTTTATAAGGTTTAATTTATTAAGAATAATTTTTGAAATATTTTTTGAGGATACAAATATGCCTCAATATTGTTGCTGGGCAATTATGAGTATTTTAATGCAAGGATATCAAAATAAAAAGCTTGCTGATTTAATGCTTTTTCCACTCGCTGAAAAAATGCTGGAAAAATTGCCAATAAATGATTTGTGTCGAATGCAGGGAGGTATAAACTTTTATTAATATTGGTTTTTATAAAGTTGGTACTTTCTATAAGGTATTGAATTACGTTTAATTATGCTTGAATCTCGTGGAAGAATTTCGGAAGCAATCGAGTTTATTGAAGTAATTCAAAGGCAGAGGCTTTTTACGGATATTGATAAAATGAGATTAAAAATTAAATTAAACAATTTATATCGGGCATGTGGAAGTTCAAATTCTTCAATTAAATGCATCGAGGAAGAGTAAGTTTTGGGGATGGGTTACTAAAATTTAGAGAATTTGTAATTTCTTGAATGAAGTTAACCTTACAATTAGATTTATTAAAATATTCTTATTTAAACTAAAAGATACATTTTAGTATGAATGAATGGACGAATTGGGTTAATTTAGTCGATTTAATAATTACAAAAGTTTCCTCAATAGAAGATCAATCACAAAGAGTCAGGTTTAAACATTTTCCTTTTTAACATTTTTTTTTTAAATTTAAAGTTCTCTAAACAAACATATCGAAATGTGGGATGTTTTGATGAGTGAATGTTATGCAAAAGTTTCGCACGCATCTGAATTACGAGGTCCATTGATGGGCCGTTTACTTTTTATGGATAAAATTATTAATTCAAATATTTTAACAAAAGATGAATTAATCGAAACAAAACTTGGTTTTTTATGAATTTTTATAAATTAAAATTTAACTAAATTTATTTAGGAAGTCCTTTAAAGGCACTAGAAGAACTTGCAGATATCGTTTGTGACAGACCTTTTGGCTTTGCTGATATGAAATTATTTCTTCATTTATTGAAAGACGAAGAAGGGAAACAATTATTGGATCATATTTCTTTTATTGGCATTTAGAAGAGTATTTTTTGGTTTTATTTAAAGATAGGTCGGATTTTTAGGCATTAAAAGGCAAAATTGTGGGTATTTCAAATAAACTATTTTTGATAATTTTTTTAGAATTTTAGTCAATTATAGATCATTTTATGGTTTTTGTTTGATTTTAGTAAAATAACAGATATTTGCTTAAAAATTCGACCCTTAGTAAAGAGAGACGTAGTGATTTATATTAGGTTGTTTGCAATAAATATTTTGTTGGTGTATCATTTTTAGAATTTTTCCCGATTTTTGAAATTATTTTGTTGTAAAGAATTTTCTAAAAACTTGATCAAAAAATTTTTCTTATTTTAAGGAAATTTATTAACCAGAAATGAGGTAAAGCTTTAGGGAAAAATCTTAAAAATGAAACACGTTTTATATCTTCCATTGTTGTATAATATTAAATATACGAAAGTTTAATTTTAATTTTTTTATTGTTATAAATACATATAACCTATATGTATTACTTATCTAAACTATCGGAGTACCTATATTAAAATAACTTTTAGACTAAAATGGAAGATTTAGCAAGTGCAGAATGTTCAGGCGTTGATTCGAATAAGAATCTACCAACTGCAACAAACGAATCCGTTGGCTCATTTCCTTCAAGATTAAAAATCAACAAAAAGAGGCAAGAAGGAAATCCTCTCATTAAATATATTCGAAATGTTGTTTTTGAATGGGACTCAGAAATAAAGTAATTTAACAGTTTTTTTTATAAATTTTTGTTTTTAAAGGAGTGATTTTGAATGTTCTCGCAACTGTGGCATTGTTTACCTCAGTGCAAAGTATCATAAATTACATCCTGGATATATTGAAACACGATTGAAGGATTTATCAAGATATAAAATTAAGGTATGTTTCGTTCTAATTAATTTTTTAAGCGGAACGGGATGGGAAAAATCTTTCAGAAAAAATTGTTTTGACACCAAGGGGTTTGAGTTGTAGGCTTAAAAAATTCTTTTTCTGATCATTTACCTCCTAAAATTTTTTCACTTTCTCCATTTCAGGGGGGGGGATCTATAACCCCAGAAGTCCCCCTGCTACGCCCTTGGTTGACACTTAATAAATTCGGCTTCAAAATTAAAATTTTAAAAATTTATTAAGATTCTCTTACTACTCATCAACGTGGATGACCCATCATTTTTGCTTCGCGATTTAAATTTGCTTTGTTATCGAGTTCAAATAACTCTTGTTCTAAGTTACTCTGTCGAAGAGGCTGCTGAATATGTTGAAACTTTTAAAAAGACTGAAAATAAGAACTTTGAGAAAGCTTTGGAAGATATAAATAAGTGGAAGCAACAATAAATATTTAAAAATATTCTATTTTTAAACGGTTAAATTAAATTTTTTTTTTCGTAAACGTTTTTAATGTAAAAGTATTCCTTTCTTGCTTGAAATATTTTAGTACTTCATTAAAGTTCTGTGAAATCATTATTTCTATTTTTACATTTTTACTAAACATTTCAGCAAATATGTTCAATAATCTTTTTAACTGCAAGCTACAATTATTAGCTCTCAAAAATTTGAACAGCAAATATTCTTTTTGTGTTAAACAGCCTTCTATTTATTTTCGACGACATTTTAACATTACTCAAAAATTTTTGATCTCTTCTAATGTTAACAATAGACTACAAGATAGGATATTTTTGAATAATTTATTACAAATTGGAAGAAAATCTGGGAAATCTTTGCGATTGTTTTCTTTTTCACTTGGAATTTTTTACCCAATTAGCAGGTTTTTAATTTTTAAATTAAGAATTAGATGAAATTTTATGTTGCCACAAAAAGAAAATTCTCTGTTTTTGGCCTAAAAATATTTCCAAAAATTTTAGGTTTTCGATATACAAACATTTTAACTTTCAAAAAATTTTCTCTGATGTGCCCGGGATTCCTGAATTATTAAATATTTTTATTTTATTTAGAGTAGCACAATGCAGACAGCAACAATCCACTCGTATTGACCATTCTCATCAACAACGATCTATTCCTCCATTATCAGTCACGTGGACAGAATTTTGGTTATTGATTAGGCCTTATATTCATTGGTTAATTTGTGCTGCTTTGGTATTTCTTAAATTTAAAATTTTGTTTCAACTTTCATTTCAAGACTGCTTGTTGTGTTGCAGCTTTAAATATTCAAATTCCGATAATTCTTGGCCAGCTGGTCAACCAAATTTATTCTTTTATTAAACAAAATGGTGTTGATGTTAATTTGGGTGAATTAAAGCCAATAGTTTTTAAATTAGTGTCTGTTTATGTTGCACAGGTTTGTATTAGAATATTTCAAAAAAATGTATTTCTTCTATGAAATTTCGGAGTAATTTTTAATTAAAAGTAATTTTTATAACTTGAAAAAACACACAATTCGAAATAAATTTTAAAAGAATTTTATGCCTATTTTACAACCCTCAATTTTAAGCACAGAAATTTTTATAATTAACTAATTTTATTTTTCCCTGCTAACTTTTTGATTTTAGGCTTTCACCACTTTCTTATGTATTGCGTCCCTTTCACAAATGGGAGAGAGAATATGTGCCGATTTGCGTGTTCGATTGTATTTTTACTAAACTTACAATTTTTTAACCAATATTTTTTAAAGATTCTCTCATCTTCTTGAATTACCAATGCCTTTTTTCGATGCTCAAAATAGTGGAGAATTAAGCGATCGTTTAAATTTTGATGTCCAACAATTCAAAAGTTCTTTTAAAGAATGTACAGCACAAGGATTGCGAACAACTGCACAGGTATTTATTCTAAATATTCAATATTGAAATAAATTTTTTGACAATCATGAGGGATTCTTCTAATTATTTCTTACCAAAATTTTCTAAACTTTTTGTTACTATTAATTTTGTTGTTTTATTCTTAAACCCACGTGAAAAAATTATCCCAGTTAATCTTATTGTTTTTTTCAATTTTCGGATTGTTGGTTGCATTTGTTCTCTCTACTTATTAAGTCCACAAATGACTTTATTTACTGTTGGAATTGTTCCAATTGTTGTTGTAACTGGATCTTTATTTGGTAGAATTCTTAGAAAATTAAGTGCTCGAGCACAATCACAGAATGGAATTGTTGCTGGAGTCGCATCGGAAGCATTCCAAAATATTCGAACAGTTAAAGTATTTGCAATGGAAGAAGCTGAACAGAGGTTTTTTCACTTTTTAATTTTTTCTCTCTAATTTATGGTGTAAGATTTTTTTTATTTTGGAATCTCTTGGCTTCCTTATTTAAATATTCTTGTCAATCATCCTTTTAAAATCATTTCCGACTAATTTTGATATATATTCATATATTTTTTATATTTCTTTTTATAGTCTCTATGAACGGGAAGTTGAAAAAACGAAGTCACTTTATGGTCAACTTGGACTAGGCATTGGGTTATTTCAAGCTGCTAGCAATTTATTTCTTAATGGTTTCTTCCAATTTTTTCTTTAATTTTATTTATTTTTAAGGTTTAATACTTGGTGTTTTATATGGAGGGGGGCAATTAGTAATTTCTAATGTTCTTTCGCCTGGTGATTTAATGGCATTTTTGGCTACTGCACAAACTATTCAACGTTCTCTTGCTCAACTTTCTTTTGTTTTTGGTAGCGGAATAAAGGTTTAAAAATTAATATCTTTCGATTTAAATTTACATTTTTTATTTTATTTTGAGTTAAGGTTTGGTCTTCATGTGGAAGAATTATGGAAATTTTGCGTCTAGATCCTAAATATGGCAAAAGTGGAACATTTGTTATTCCAGCACACAGTCTTGTTGGAAATATTGAACTTTCTAATGTTTACTTTTCTTACCCAACGCGTCCTGGTCATGAAGTACTTAGAGGTTTGAATATGAATATTGGAAATGGACAAACAATTGCAATTTGTGGATCATCTGGGGCAGGTTAAGTTTACTTTTTAGATTAATATTTTTATTATACGTGGAATAATATTGTTTGTTAGTTCTCCTTTTTTCTTAATTTTATCCCACTGTGCGGCACTTCAAATTTTTTAAAAATGTTTTTGTTTCGAGCCCATCTCCCCAATTTTTCCGAATAATTATTTTAGAAATTCTTTAAATTTATTAAAATATTTTTAAGGAAAGAGTACAGTTGCGGCATTAATTGAACGTATTTATGAACCAGTTGCTGGCCGAATAAAACTTGATGGTATTGAATTAAATAAATTAGATTCAAAATGGTTAAGAAGAAATGTTATTGGCGTTATTTCACAAGAACCTGTTCTTTTCTCTACTTCGATTAAAGAAAATATTCGTTATGGGAAAATTGATGCAACGGAAGACGAGGCTTTTTTTCAACTAAGAATAATTTTTAATTTATATAAATTTAGATTAAACATGCAGCTGATTTAGCAAATGCTAGTCAATTTATTGAACAATTTCCTGAGGGTTATGATACAATTGTCGGAGAACGAGGCGTTACTTTAAGTGGGGGACAGAAACAAAGAATTGCTATTGCTAGAGCCCTCCTTAAAAATACACCAATTCTTATATTAGATGAAGCTACTTCTGCTTTGGATACTGAAAGTGAACGTTTAGTGAGTGTTATGGTTTATATTAGGCATATTACCCAGGGTGTACCCAGAAATATAATTAATTCTCTGAAGGTGGTGAGGGGGTGGGGCTTTTGAATGTCTTGGAACCAAGACCATGTATGGAACATTTTGTGGAATTGCGAAAACATTAAATAATTTGTACTATAGAATTGTTTTCAGATTCATCAAGCTTTGAACCGAGCACTAAAAGGTCGGACAGTCATCGTCATTGCCCATCGGTTAAGCACGATTCGCAATGCTGATTCTATTTATGTGTTGGAAGGTGGTCAAGTTGTTGAGGTTTGTTTATTTATTAAAATGTTATTTAAGTTTATTTTTAGAAAGGAACACATCAACAGTTGATCAAAAATACGAATGGAAAATATTATGGTCTAGTTAAAGAACAAGAACACTTTCAAAGCAATGACAAGGAACGAATTATAGGTGGTTGATTTTATTTTTGGATTAAGGACTTTGTTGAACAATTTCAAAAATTTTGTTTTCATCTTTACAAATGATAAATTTACTATAATTTTCTAAAAAAGGTATAATTTATGTACTAACATAAGTAATGAATCAATTGAAATATATTTAAAGTGAATCCCATTAAAATCAAACTTTAATTAAATTTTTATATACAAAGTCGTCCTTTAATAATTTTTCTTTATTTTGTAGATTAAATATAAGCATTATACCATTTTCTTAAGAATAGCTAGTGCATTTGTTGTTTGGCGGAGCACCCATTTGGCTTAGGACACCTAAATAAAACAAATAATAGTAGATTTTGATCAAAAGCAAGATAAAATTTCCAAGATCGAATCCAATACCGGGATTTTACCCAGGAACAAACATTTTTAAAATAAACTTACGGTCAAGCCAGGCTAGAGGCCCGTTCAAATGAATTTCAAGCCAGCATGGAGTAGAGGTAACACTCTGTCGATGATATTCACTTCCCCAACCTTTTACAAATGACATACGAATTGTACAAAATCTAAAATTAAATTACAAATTTTAAATATTACGATAATCATTTTGTACGTTTTGGCATATCTGTTAATAGCCCCTCGGGCCGTAACCCTAAATCAATTTAGAGAAACCCCGATACTCGTATAAAAGAAATTTTTATTTGTACTATAGTAACACGAACCTGGTTAACGAATAGACAGATTCAAATCCCTGTTTTACTGCTGTGTTAAGCAACTTTCCAAAATCCTTCATTGAAAAGAGTTTAAGATTACAATCTGTAAAAAACAAAATATAATTTCAGGTTTAAAAAATTCAAAAATTGAAGGCTGGTCAGAACATATAAATACGTTAGATTATAAAACACCCATAAATTTAATTGTAAAAATAATTCCATACATTGTGGAACTTTATAAACTGTCGCAGCTGGCGCAGAAAGTTGTGCAGAAGCACTGGGGGCTTGAATAAAAACTTTTGCTGTTTCACTTAAAGTTTCGCAGTAAACGTCGCCTCCAATGCTGTAAATTCGAGCACCTTAACGAGAATATATTTTTAATTATTATTTTATAATTACCTCGTCCAATACATTTACGAGCATTAACAACATCTTGAGGTCTATGCAGATTAGGAAGTTGACCTAGACAGAAACGATCCTCATCGGTTGGAGAAGTGTAACTGGAAAGTTGAAATTAGAAAATATGTAATATTTTTGATCAAAATATTCGAATAATAAGCTTAAAAGAGAGCTGAAATATGTATACAGTTCCTACCAGGGATGGTCTATGAAGATTAGGAAGGAGGGGGGGGGGTTGAGAAAAAAGTCGGGTCGGGTTTTCAAAATTTTCTTCGGATCGGGTTTCGGGTCGAAAAAAGTCATGATTTCGGGTAACCCGTCCCATCCCTGGTCCCTAAATACAATTGGGAATGGGTCTCCGAGTTTAGTGCCTTAAAAGTTATAGATAGATAAAAAGTTTATTGAAAGTAACATACCCATCGATTACTAAACTTGGCTTTGAAGCATGAAAAACATCGCCAACACGTTGATTTAATTCATAATAAGTCAAACTACACCAAAATGTTGGTTCTTCATATTCTACTATTGAAATAGCCGCTGCTTCTGCTGCAGTTGAAGGAATGTCAGCATTTGTAGGTGTTTGTTGTTGATTTGATTCTTTTCTTTGGTGCATTTCTGTGGTACGCTCCATTATACGATCAAAACGGGCCGATTCTTCTACCAAATCAAAGGGACCGGAACGATTTTTGTTTGTGAAATTGAATTGATTCTAAATTGAAGTAAAAACAGTACAATTTTTCAATACAAAATTTCCAACCTGGCTCGTAAAAAGTGGACTAGATTGTTGGCCACCAGCATCGGAAAGAGGGCTATTTACTTGTTGATCCATATCTAGATCATCGCTCAAATAGCCTTGTGGGGAAACTGAATTAAAAAAATTTTTATATCAGGCCCGTAGCCGGGGGGGGGGGGGGAATTCCACCTCCCCTCGAAACGTGAAAAGGAAAAATTTAGGGAGGGGATTGGGCAAAAAAGTGAATTTTTTGGACTACGGCCTTCTAAAATTCCCAAAATTTTCTACAATTAGCTAGGGTTAACAAAAAAATAATTATGAACATCGGGACCTTTTGTAACAATTACCTAATTAAATTGACTAATGGAGTAGTCGGTTCTTGGGAAATTTTCGGATGATATTCGAAACCCGACCCGACAGCTGACACACAAATCGAATATTGTCATAGTTAGAGTTGCAAGACAATTTAATTTATAAATATAACGAAAATAAAAAAGAATAGTCTTACATTCATGTGAAATTGGTGAATTCATGCCCAATGAACTTTCTACTGAATTTGGACCAGCAAAACCGCTGTAAATATGATTAAAAGTGTGAGGTATGTTAGAAGACGAGGATGTCGATTGGTGTTGATTTAATTCATTTCCATTACTTCCACCACTTATATCCATCATTTGAATATCCATAGCAACACCACTATCATTTTCACTGGTAGATTGAAAGTCAGAACCGAAAAGTTGAGGTTGAAGACTAAGAATTTGTTCATAACTCAATGTCATGTTTGGAACCTTAAAAATTATTTTAAAAAATATTAAGTAATTGAAATAGGATCAAAGTGGCCCTCTAACAAAAAATACTCTAGTTTTGCTTAAACAAGTGGAATAAAATCAAACAAATTAATTTGTAAAAGGGGGCGTAGCCGGGGGGGGGGGGGCTTTGGGGCTATAGCCCCCCCCCCTGAAATCGACCGTCTGGCTACGCCCTTGATCCCCTGCCATTTAAAACCTCAAAACTAACTTTAGCGTCAAGTCCTCCATCCTCCGATGCTCGAATAACGCTAAAATTCTCAGGACATTCCGTAGCAGGATTTCGGCGAACAACAACTTTGGGATGTTCTAAAAATTAAAAGAAAATGATTAAAAATTAAATTTGAAGAAACTCGGATTTTCAATTGTTTCATAATGGTAGGGATTTACACAAACTTGTTCAAGCCGTTTGTTTTTGTTAAATGGGTAGAGACAATTAGAGGTTGGACGAAGTTGATGATGAGTTAAAATATCTGTGAATATAAGATAATAAATTTTAGATTACTTTTAAAAAATTATAAAGCAAATTTATTTTGGGCCCTCCTATCCCCTCAAGTGACGAAAACATGTGTATAATTTAAGAAGGGGTCTCATAATTAGAGCTCGGCATGGGACAGGACCTCGTACGGGTTTTACGAGATCCAGTCCCGGAATCCCGGGTTTTCAACGAAAAACGGGATTACCGGGATTAATCCCGCGGGATCACGTCCCGTACAAAATTTTGAAAAAATCTCGTTACGGGATCCCGGGAATGCTATTTTGCCGACCTCTACTCATAATGTCGGACATATGTGTTACATAATAATCTATTAATTTTTAAAAATAACATACTTTGAAATCTGCAATACTTGCAACATAAAAAATGAGGAAAGGATTTCATTTGGCCACTATATGCAGTCCGTTCTTCTGGGGGTCTTTAAAATGGATTTATTAACAAAACTTCTAACGGTTTTTAGATTTAAAAAGTTGTCATATTATCTATTAATTACGCTTACATTGTGTAGACAACGCAGGGTGTTTCCGAATTCTCTGCTGAAATTGCCCGTTGCAACCCCTCCAGACATTTACTTTTTCGGAACTTCTTCAACAATAATTTCAATTCAGCTTTATCAGCAGATGCACGGTCATTTTTTGGCTAAAATTGATAAAAAGGAAATGAAGTTACCCAGAAAAAATTTAAAAAAACCGATTGATCGCCAGATTCAATCTGCTCATTTCCAGCAAGCATTAAATGCATTAAACTCTTAACAAACATAATAAATATTTATATAAATGTTATCAGAAACCTTTATTTTCTTCGATCCAAGTCCTCTCATTTCGAAGAAAATTTGAATTAATGAAACTTTATTTTTGTAAAATATCAAGTATTTATTGAATTAAAGTTTATTTTAAACACTAACAAGTTTAAACAATTATTTATGCAAATGCATAACAAATCTCCCAAATTTAGTGAATATTTCATCACTACCCCAAAAAATAAACGGACAAAAGATAATCTTTAAAAAAGATATTTAGTACAAAAACTAACTTTTGGCTGAAAATATCTTTTGTCAACTTTCCTTTTGTCCGGACACAAAAACAAATTTTGTTTATTTTCAAGAAGAATCGAGAATAGAACTAGAGATCGGAATTTTGAAAAAACCGGGACCGGGAAACGGGAAACGGGTTCTGAAGGTCGACCGGGAGGGACCCGGACCGGGAAAACCGGGAATTCCCGTTCCCGGTTTCATCCCGGTCAAAAATGACCGGGACCCGGACCGGGAAACCGGGAAATTTAAAAAAAATTTTTTAATTCATTTAAAAATTTCAAAAAGCTATGGGAGTAGTTATTTATTGAAAAATCTGATTTATAAATAGAAAAATTTAATAAATCAGTAAAATAAATCAATAAAACAAATGTAAATTACAATAAATTAAAACATAAAGCGGATTACGTAGGGCTAAAGGGATTTGAGAGGCTAGAGAAGGATTGTGGGATATTGGGAGATTTTGGAGTTTAAGATCTCCCGATAGGCTCCTCAAATTTTTTTATATCGCCTATAGGTATTCCTCATCTAATTCCCTTTAATCCCTCCTAATCCACCTTGATGCTGATTTAATTTTTATTTAATTTTAATTTTTATTTAATCCCTCCAAATCCACTCTGATCCTCTCTGTGCAATAGTGATATCAGGGATTAAAAGAGATATCGAGAGATTCAAGTATTTGTTGGAGCATTAAGAGAGATTATGGAGAAAGACCTCAACCACCTATATCACCTGATATCTATTCAAATCCCTTCAAGTGGAAGGCAATGATATCAGATGATTAAGGCAGATCTAATGGATTTAAAGGGATAAAGATGGCTTAATCACCAGGTCCCTTGATAAAATCGCACACTATACACTAATTTCCCTAACTTTTCATCCCTCCAAATTTCTCCGTTCCAAATTCTTCAGCGAAAATTTTGAGAATTTTGGAAGGTCAAACAGCCAAACTTCTTCCGTTTTCAGCGCCGCAGGCGAAAATTTTGAGAATTTTTGTAAAATCTACAATATTTTTAAGTCAAAAATCAAAACGCCAAGCAAAAATATTTAAAATTAGCTGTTAGAATTTTTCCCGGTTTCCCGGTCCAAAAAAAGCCGGGATCGGGAACGGGAAACGGGAAATGAAAATTAACCGGCCGGGACCCGGACCGGTAAAACCGGGAATTCCCGATCCCGGTTTCATCCCGGCGTCTTCAAAAAAGCCGGGAAAAAGGACCGGGAAACCGGGAAACGGGACCGGGTCCCGATCCCGTTCCGATCTCTAAATAGAACGGTTTGTTTAAGTCATCCGTTTGTTTCATGCAATCTGGAATTGAAAATTTCTCGGGAATCCCTATTCGTGGGATTTTTTGAATCAAGATTTTAAGTAATGTCTTTTATGTATCTTTTTACATATCTTTACAAAAATAATTATAGTATAGAAAAACTACACCTTACAGTATTCTCGAATAATTGCCCATAGCAATCAGAGGTGGGTCGGAATTCCGATTTCCGACTTCCGATTTCCGATTTCCGACGTTTTTTTCCTTCCGATTTCCGATTTCCGAAATTTTGAAAAAATTTCCGATTTCCGAGAATTTTTGAAGCATATTTCCGACCAGAGATTTTTCCAAAATTCTCAAAATTTGCGCCTGCGGCGCAAAAATTTGAAGAAATCTAAACTAAGAACCTCCAAATTTCACAAAATTTTCGCCTGCGGCGCAGAAAGTGGAAGAAATCTGGCTTAAGGACCTCCAAAATTCTCAAAATTTTCGCCTGCGGCGCAAAAATATGAAGATTTTTGGCTTAAGGCTCCCAAAAATCCCAAAAATTTTGCCTGCGGCGCTGTAAATGGAAGTTGAATTGTATATAGGAGGATTAGGATTGATTAAGGTGGACTTTGAGTTATACCGTGTGATTTCAAAGGGTCGTATGTAATATCGAGGGGTCTGGGTGTGATGTCGAGGGATTTTTATTCCCTCAAATTACACTCAAGAAGGCCCATAATTTGCCGCTTACACTTTTAAATATTATTTCAGTTATGAAAATAAAAATTTTATTTCCGATTTCCGCCTTCCGATTTCCGATTTCCGGCGTTTTTTTCCTTCCGATTTCCGATTTCCGATTTCCGAAAAAAAATTTTGATTTCCGATTTCCGAGTTCCGACTTTTGAGTCATTTCCGATTTCCGACAGTTCCGATTTCCGACACCTCGGGCTGTTCCGACCAGACCTGGGCGAAACTCCAAATTTTTTTTGGACGAAACGAAACGAAACAAAATTTTTTAAAAATCGTTTCGTTAACAAAACGAAACGAAACAGTCAAAATTTAACGAAACGAAACGAAACAAATTAAAAAGTGTTTCGTCACGAAACGAGACGAAACAGTAAAAAACATAACGAAACTAACGAAACAACGAAACGAAACGAAACGTTTCGCCCACGTCTGGTTCCGACCCACCTCTGATAGCAATGGGATCAACCTAGAATATTGAGACCCAAAATATCGTTGACCCTAAATATTTTAGGGACGATATTTTGGGTCTCGATATTCTGGGGGTGGAGAAAAGAAAAACTTACAGCTTTCCGGCCCTGATACAAAATATTGGATTCAATTTACGATATAATTTTAAATTAACAAGTGAGAGAATTGGTTTAATCATTAAACTTTAATGTTTAAAATTAATCTCTATTTTTTCTAAATCTAAAATCCCCCAACAAAATTTTGGTAGTTAAAGTAAATAAGTTCCCCCAATCCTTAATTAAATTGAGTAAATTTTTTAAATTATTTTTATCTTTGTAATATATTAAATGTTTTGGAGATAAGTTTCAACATTTACTATTTACTAAAAATATAATGTTTGTTAATACCAACTGTAACCACCAAACAAAACAAAAAAATTCAAAAATCAAAATTAATTTTATTTCACAAATATTGTAAAAGTGGTTGGAGATTATTTTTAATTAAATTAATTATTCCCAATTTCCAAATTTCTTTCCTTTCATTCTTTTTATACTGGCTGATGTTCTCTATTTGTAATATATTCAAATATTTGTGGTTGAGTTTGAACCTTTCTAACAAATTTTATAATAGCTGGGTATTTATCTAAAATTTGTGGTTCAAAATGTCTAACTGTTGTCATATATTCTTTTAAATTTGAAGAAATATTTTTATAAAAATCTTTAAAAATACCAGCAATAACAAAATCTACCCAAGTAATTCCACTTGGCAAAAAGAATCCACTCCCTGACAATTTCAATAAATTAACATAAACTGGAAAATGTTTTTCAACATTGGGTAGAAAAATTGCTTGTCTAAGTGTTTGCTTGAGAAAATAATTTATGTAAATAATATTTTTGAAGCCCGGACCGAGACGAGATCTTGATCGAAAATCTTGGTTACAGAGATCGAGACTTTTCGAAATCTCGATTCTTATACGATCCCTCCCAGTCCGGGCTCTAATTATTTTTTTAAATTTTATTTCTACTTTATCTCCTTGATGGAATCCGGCAACAACATACATATATGGCTAATATATTTAAATAATTTAGACAATTATCTATTTAAATTACTTGTAAATCCATAGCCACATCAGCGTGGAAATCTGAAATTTCATCAACTTTAGCCTGTTCCCAATTATCTCTGCCAGAAAGTCCTAAATAAAACAATGGCCTTTAATAAGAAATAAACAAAACCGAATTGTCTTGCCAAATATCGAGCGATTGTATGGCAATAGGTTAATGGCTTTCCATCAACCTAAAATATTTTAATTAATATTCAATATATTTTAAAAATCTATTTCAATATGGTACTTATCAGTTATCTCCCCCACATTTCCTTTCTCTCCATCTTTTTTTGTGCTATGTTCTGTGATTGTGATTTTTGTGATATGTACTTAGCCTCGTCGAGTTATATCGAATGAGACTAAAATTACTGTGTTTTAACCTTACTTGAACTTGATCATTTATTGTGATCACTCAACCTATTCCCTGTAGTGGTTTAAAAGAAAATTCGGGGAGGTAACCGATTATTCTTAATAAAATTTCAATTTTTCGATAAATTTATAAAGCACTTACCTCAAGAATTGGAACTTTTCCGTAGACGGTACCTTCAATTATTTGTTTTTTAATCGCCCCAAATAAACTTACTATCTTTTAAAGCTAGCCATTGTTTTCGAGAAATACGAACATCATCAAAAGGTACATGTGCGTAATGGAAAAGTAAACGAATTGGTTCACAAATTCCACGTGCATCAAAATAAATTAATTTATAATTAGTCATCTTGTAAAGTCCACTCGGCCTTGCTGCTGAATCTATAGATGGAGGAGAAGGAGCTTGAGGGCCAGAAGGAGATGGGGACTTTTTAATTAAAAAAATATTTTCTTAAAAATATTTTGAGAGACTTGCGGCGGTATTTGAGGAGGTGGAATAACTCCTGGAGGTGGCATAGGAGGACCTACAGGCACTTGAGCAATGGAAGATGGTCTTTCTTTAGGGGAAGATTTAGATTCTGGCTGAGAAGCTTTTAAAAAAGAAAATAATTTTTAAATTTAATTTGTATATAATTAATAGAATTTTTTATAAAAAAATCAAACAAGGAATTGGTTTTTGGACTATAATTGTTGTTGTTTTTGGCATTTTTGTTGTTGTCATTGTTAACGTTGATTTAGTTGTTTGCTGTACAAAATTTTTGTTTATATTTGATTTATTTGCAGAATTTCCATCAACTTTTTTCGGCACAGATGGTGCCACTTGAAGAGGAAATACTAAATATTTCAGTTAAACTCCCAAAATAACCTCTTTGACGGTTTCCAGAATTTATTAACTTTCCATTTTCATTTTTCCCAGCAGTTTGCCCCTTCTTTGAAAATGTTTTACGATCTTTTATTTGGGATGAGGAAGGCAAAGATTTATCTTCAATTTCATCAACTATTAATCTAACCCCTCGATTCTTCTCATTTTTTTCTTCTTCCAATTTTTCTTCTCCCTCAACTTCATCTGTTTCTACTAAATTATTTCCACCTTCTTCCCCTTCTTCTTCTTCTATTCCATCATCTCTTTTGTATCGGTTTTTTTGTTTTTCTTTTAAAGGAAGTCGAGAAACAATTTCAAGTTTTCTAATAGATGAGTGAATATTTACTTTTTGGTTTATATTTGGCAATTCCTCTAAAAAGCCATTTTGTGGGACTGGAGTAAAAAAGAAGTTTGTCACGTTAGTTAATAAAGTACTTCCATTATAATCAACAATTCGGGGCGCTTAAATTAAAATAAATATTTAGTCTGGATAGGAATTGAATGATTTTGATTTTTTCTAGAATTTGGAGTTAAATAATATGTCTTTTATTACTTTGGCCATGGTGCTTCCATTTTTTTCAAAAATTTTTGAATTTTTTCTAATTAAGCCCCGTCACTGACCCAAACCCACCCCCAAAACTCTCAAATTAAAAATATTTTTATCATAAATTTTTCAACTCTCAAACCCTTTAATGCTGATTTTTGATTAATTTTGTGTATTTCTTTATAATTTTTATTTATTTCTTCCTTTAGAATTTCTAATCTTCCTTTAACACAATTGTTTAGAATAATTAATTGAATAGTTAAATAACACAAAAACAATAAAAATTTCGAAGAAAATTTAATCATTTTCTTTAAATTAATTTTTAAATTAAAATTTAAATAATTATGTATTTCTTTATAATTAAAACAAAAAAATCTGACAAATTATTAAATTAAATAAATTGTTAGTTACCTAATTAAGGCTACCTATATTTTTTAATAAATAAATACATATACTAGATACTTTTGTAAAAAAATATTAAAAATGATTGGCAGCTGGATACATTTATAGAAAAATGGACTCTATGCGCAATTATTTTCCCAAATTATTTTTATAATCCAATTTTTTTAAGAATAATTTTTGGTAATTAAATTAGTCAGTTGTTTAAATATTTGGATATATTTTTTAAACATTAAATCTTTTTTTGTAATTTAATAATGTATTTTTTAGTATTAAACAACCAAAATCCAGAAACTCACTTCAAGTATATTTAGACATAAATTAATAATAATTAATAATAAATCAAATTTATTTTCATTTTTTGAAATTTAGCTATTGAAAAATATTTGAAAAAAAAATATTTGAAAAGTCCCTAACAATTCTTGATTTTAGGGAACTGGAGCCTTGGGTTTTTTTATCTCATAATTTTTTTACAAATTATTTTTCTATTATATTTATGTACATACATTTGTATTCTTCTTCAATTGAATTTTATTTTTCTTTTCTATTTTTTCTTCCAAATATTTATTGAGGTTTGAATTGTTTTGTTCAGATAATATTACTTATCTCTCATGTTCATTTAAAAAAAACAAAAATTTATTTTTCCAAATAATATCGATTTATCGGAAATATTAATAAATATCTATGAGAATGCTTAAATATATTTTTATTTATTTATTAGCTATCACTGCCGGAAACACTCAAATGCCTTTAGAGAGTTGCTTTTTAACAGCTTTTATTGAACACTTCATGAGACAGCCCTTTTTCATCCTTTACCTGAAGCAGCTGTGGAATAAAAACAATTTTTAAATAAAAACGTAAATTTTATTTTAAAATTTTATTTAGAAATTGCTAAATATTTTTTTGTTTTTTAAGAAAATCATATTAATGTTGTTAACAAAAGTTCCATATAGGGAGAAAAATTAAAATAATTAACTATTATTTACTTTATTAATTTTGTTAATAAGAAAGCTATCATTTTAAAAAAATAAGAAAAATCTTTATGTTAATTTAAATTTTTGTAAACATTTACTAATGTACATATTTAATAATTTATAAAAATTAAAAATACTTGTAAAACGTTCGCTTAAAAATTATTATTTTTATAAAAACAATTTGCCATTTTTCAGAATTTTGTTAAAAAGTAAACTCAAAAAAATCAAAAATGAATGTCGGCGATAGGATTGAAGTTAAGGAGACTGGTAAGAGATAAACAAAAATTTAAAAATAATTTTTTTAAATTTTTTAAAATCAAAATAATATTTTATTAATAACAAAAATTATTATTATTATTCAATTTTACTCTTAAAAATTTTTTAGATATGAAGCCAAATATGGTAACTCAAGCGATGGATATTGTAAGGGATGGAATACAAAAACACAGTCAAGATAAAGTAATTTGAAATAATGATAATAAATTTTATCTTATTAATTTTAGGATATTGCAAGTTTTGTTAAAGATACTTTTGAACAACGTTTTGGCCCTACTTGGCATTGTGTAGTGGGAAGGAGCTTTGGTTCTCGAGTCTCTTATGAATTGGAGACTTTTGTATTACTTAAGGCTAATCAACATACTGTACTGGTTTTTAAATGTGGATGAAATAAAAAAGGAATAATCAAAAAAAGTAAAAATTATATTTTAAATAATAATCAAAAAAATTTTTTAATGTTTTACACAATTCATGAATAAATGTTTTTAAGCTTGAGCAGCAAATAATCTAGAAAACAGATTAATTAATTTAGTAATAATCTGTCTTAGACATATAAAAATCAGTTACTTTGAAAAATTAAGAAATTTTATTTCCAAAAAACACGGATATAATCTCACTTCGGTTATAATCCCACTTAATGGCCGGCCCCTAGACAAGGATAATGTATGCGGTAAAGAAAGTAAAGGTGTAAGAAGGTTCCTGCTGTGGCTATGCTTTTGATGAACTCCTACTACTATGATAACGAGATTCAACTGATATATTTTTTTTATTTTTATATTACCTGGCACTGGAAACGGATGAAATATTTCCGGGGGTTCTCTGGAGCAGGTCAACCTACCATCGGAGTGGGGGGTTTAAAAGTTAAGTTTTCGAAACAGCTCTGTTTACGATAAATAATGTATTTTACTTTTATTCTTTAATATACAAATTTTTACTTTACATAAATATATGCACTTTAACCTCATTAAAATTTAATTTCAAAATAAATATTTTTCTCAATAAATTTAATTGATTTAAAAATAAATATTTATAGTCTATAAAATAAATCGTCTATAAAATTATTAAAAATATTTAATTTTTATTTTAAATTTCGAAAATGTTTTTGAATTATTTGAATAAAAATGCTCAAACAATCCTGTTTCTCGCTGTTGTAATAACAAATTTTCCAACAGAAATAATTAGTGGATGTTTGTATATATTTTTTATTTATTTTATTAATTAATTTAAATAATTGTTAATATTTAGGTATTAATTCAAAATGTTTTGGACATGAAAATCAAAGAGAGACTATAGAAAGTAAAATTATAAAGTTAATAAAATAATTCTAAATATGTAAGCCGATCTTAAGTTTCCAATCCCGGAAGTATTTTTTGATTTTTGGTTGGAATCACGATAGGTACTTCTCCGTTATACAACAATCCAACAATTTAAAATATTATTTGTCAAGTGTTGGAATTTGCGAAATTACTTTATAAACCTAGTTTGACTAATAAATAATTTAATTAAACAGTAGGGGTTTGGTATAACTGAGAAGTACCTTCCAACTAATGTCGTCTGTCCAAATTTTAAAAATAATATAAGGAAATTTTGCTATGAACTAATTTTCTTAAATCATAATAATTTTACTAATATTATTAGCTCAATCTTCGACTAAATTTGAAATAACTCAAAATAATGCAAGATTATGCGCTAATGAAATAATTAAATATTTTAACATTGCTTTGCGAGGAGAAAATGTTAAATTTTAAATTAAATAAAATTTAAATATAAATTATTTTTATAGGAAAATGAAACTGAAAATTTTTTATTAAATCAAAGGAAATTTTACAATGTTTTAAATAAAATAAAAAATCATTTACAAAATTATAACAAATATTTTTATAATTATTGCAATAGAGCAATAAAAGATAATGAAGATAACACAAAATTAGGATATTTAAATTTTGTGCATAATAGCCAAAAAGCTTCCCTTTTTATTTCTACTGGTTTTCTAATTTCAACAGCAAAGTTTTTGATTGAGGGATTGGGAAGTTCTAATAATGTTTGTTATATACGATATCTTATTTCATAATAGAATGACAATTAGGCAGAATCTTGTGCAGGCCTCTAAATCCATCGAGTTGAAAATAAGTGATAAATTAAATATACTTCATTTAATTAGAAAAATATCGGTATATTGTAGGAATAACACACGGAAAAAGGCTATATTTACCGTTTTATACATATGATAAAATCAGAATAAACATAAGAAATATAGGCAAAAGGATAAATTTTGTATATTTAATAATTAAATTAATATTTAAGTGTTAATTTAAAAATAATTATAAGTGATGGAAGTTTATATAGCTAATTAATAAAATAATTTCTAAAATCAAAATAAAAATAATTTTAAAGGAATTATTTAATGAATTTACACGCAAATCACCTATAATTTGGAACAATTCAAAAGCCTTATTGTTAACGAAGTTAACTAATGAAAATGTAGGCACATAATTATTTTAATTAAATTCTTATTTTAAGGTTAAAAATCAACTTTCTGAGTTTAATTTAGAAAATTTTGAAGAAAAATTGCGTGAGAAATATTCCGTCTCAGATCAATCTCTTAGCAGTAATTAATTTAAAATTAAAATATGGAATTTAATTTATGGTGTATTAAGAAATTAAACGTCCACTAGGAATTATTTTGTTTAATGTTTTTCTAGAATCGGTTTAGGCAAATTTTTATATCAATATTAGTTGTAAATATTAGAGATTGTATCCACAATATCTTTAAAATATTTCTCCATCGGTTTTTGTAGGGGGGGGGGGGTTCTCAAAAAAGTTAAAGATGAGAACTTCTTGAAGAAGGCTTTAGTATTTTTAATTTTCTACTGGAAATGACCACAGAAATTTTTATTGAACTTCTGTAACACTAAGGTGGATGTATAATTTGTTAACACATCATAAGAAAGAGAATAATGATTAAAATATTTAAATAACAATTATCTGATATATTCATTAATATAATTAAAGTCAATTTATTTTCTGAAATTTTTAAAAAATAAATTTAGTGAATTATTTAATAAATATAGTAATTAAATATTTAATTTCTCTTAACTTCAATTAATTATAACCATTTGGAGAGCGTATATACCAATTATTTAAATGTACACAAATATCTTCAATCCCATATTTTGGTGTCCAATTTAAATTTTTTCTAGCATTTTCTATTTCACAGCGAATTGAGGAAATATCTCCGGGACGTGGAGGCATAATTATTTTATTTATCTAGAAAAAATAAAAATGAAAAAATTTAAAATAAATTAATTAATAACTGGTTTTCCACAAGCCTTCTCGTAATTAGTTACCATTTCTAAAACTGTATGATCACGTCCAAGACCAAGATTGTATACCTTAAATAATTTTTATTTTTAATTTTTGGAATTTCTAATAATTTTCAAATTTATTTTTCTAAGATATTATTATGTAAATAAATTCTCGATTTAGGAAATTGAGCTGGCATGATCCCTATTATTATTTACCAACTTCAATATAATTTTCATTTTCTCCTTCACCAATTATTTTTCCATTTTCATTAAAATATTCTTTATTTTCTTCTTTATTTTCATTAAAAAATTCAATTCTTTCAACAGACTTTACTATAGCTAAAGCTACATCACAAACATGAACAAAATCTCTACTTCCAGAACCATCACGTGTTGGAAATGTATTTCCACAAATATTTATTGCTTTTCTTTTTCCAAGAGCAACGGAAGCAATTAAAGGCATTAAATGCTTTGGGCCTTCAGAATTTATATCATCTCCTAAAAGTCCACTTGGATGGGCACCAGCAGGATCAAATGCTCTCAGAATTATTATACACCAATCCTGTAAATGATAAATCTAAGTGAAATTTAAATTAAAGGTGAAAGAGTATCTATTTTGGTTTCTGTTTAGAAAATAAAAATATAAAATAAACGATCATTTAGAAAAAAATTTAACATCCATTATTTCTTGTAATTATAAATTGAAGTATTAAGAAGTGAAAATCTCTCCAAAACAACAATGTATTAATAAGCTTGTTACAGAGGGAACATAATTTGGCAGGCTAAACTATACCCCTCCCCCCCCACATTTTGGTATTTTTACTAAATTTCTCAGCTAGACCAAATTTATTATTATTTTTATTATAAAATATTTCTTAACCTTAGAGCTTTTACAAACATCCCGAAGTATTTGTTCAACCATAAATTTAGCCCAACCATAAGGATTTGTAATATCAACCCCAGTAGAGCTATTCTCAGTTACCGGCAATTCTTTAGGCACTCCATAAACTGTTGCACTACTCATAAAAACTAATTTTTTCTTTTCATATTTTTCACACATCTACATAGATTTAATTAAATAATAAAAGTTAAGAAAAAATATTATACTTTAAGTAAATTTATTGAAGAAATTAAATTATTAGCATAATATTCTAAAGGATATTTAATTGATGGGGCAACACCTTTTGATGAAGCTAAGTGAATTACAATATTAAATTTCTCCTTAAAAATATTTTTGGTTTCAATAAAAAATAAAAATTAATTAACCGTTTTAAATATATTCTCTAATTCATCAATATATTGTAAATTACAACGTTTAAATGTTAACATTGAGCCACGACAATTAGCCAAAATTAACACTCTCATTAAACACTGGGGCAAAATACAGACTTTTCCTTCTTCTAATTTATTAAATTTTTAAAATTAATTTTTAAATATTGAAGTTATTTTTTAATCACTGTTTGCCTGGTGATTTTATTAAAAAAATCGAGTGATAATCAGACTAAAAATTTAAAAGACAATTTAAACTTAATTACCCCGACTTTTTGAATTTCCAAGTGCAATAACTTTAAACCCGGCATTTAAAAGTTCTAAAACGGCATGAGATCCAATATATCCAGTTGCACCTGTTACCAAAACACAAATTTCTTGATTTTTATTTTGTAACATCACTATTAGATTTAAATTATTTAAAAATAAATCTGCGATATATTAATTTAAAAAATAAAAATATATAAAATTAGTCAAGTAATTTCTTTGGGTAAATAAAATAGGTAATTAATATTGAAATTAAAAATGTTTATTTAACTGTATCAAAAAAAAGTACAAGAAATAATTACTAAATTTTTTATTTATTTAACAGAAAATAACTAAAACAAGACTTTAAAAATATTTTTTAAAATAAAACAATTTAAATAATATTTATAGAAAAATATTTTTAAATGAAGAATAAATAATTTTTATTTTTGTTATTAAAAAGAAAAAAATGAGAGAATTAAATTAATTAAAATTAATTAAAAATAAATTAAATTTCAAAGGAAAAGAAACATTTTTTAAAGAAAAATAAAATAAATTTAAATAATTTATATATATATATATATTCTCTACTAAAATTAACACCGAAGATCAAAAAGGAATATGCGATTTGATAAAATCTATCGAGAAAATTTAAAAAGGAATATTTTTAAGATAAAAACTAGTTTTTAGTAAAAGAAGGATTTAAATAAAAAAAGATTTTTAATTTAGAAAATTCCCCCTTTTTTTAATATTTTTGCTTAAAGAAGTCCGCTTTCTCCTAATTTTTTCCCTCTCAACCTCTTCTTTTTTTCTTCTTCAATTATTTCCAGTTCATTTACCACCCAATGTGACTACATTTATTTTTATATGAATAAAAAATTATTAAAAATTAAAAAAATAAAAAGAAAATTAATTATTTATTTTCCTTCTTTATTTAAAATTCAAATAATTAGAATGGCACATTTAACAAAACTTTTCCCAATAATAATTATTTTAATATTTTTGGCATTTCTTTATATTTGTAAATATTTACCTGTAATAAATTCAAAGAAAAATAATGAAAATGAAATTAATAAAAAGGATATTGAAAAAGTGAAGAAAATTAAGTTGGTATTTGAATATTAAATTGCTAAAAATGGGGAATTATTGCTTAAAACATTTATATCAAAATCTGTCTCCTGGGCCCGTATCATAAGAACAAGTTGTTAAAATGGTATCATAAGAACTTGGTCATTTAAGCAGGTCATTTAACCCCTACCGAGAGGTATTTTTGTATCATAAAAACGACTGGTATTTTTCTTCTTGCTTACCACGAACTCGCTTCTGATACCAATTTTGCCGCTCGGTAAGGGTTAAACAACCACAACCATGTTCTTATGATACAGGCCCTGGTATCCAAAATCTTCGATTCAAATAGAAAAACTGATTTTGTGTTCTTGGTCTAGAGGATTTTTTTAGAAAAGTACCTAAATATGCCCTCTCTCGTATCCCCCTCCCAATCCGTTTTCTAGCTTTAAAATTAATTTGTTCATTCACCATATCTATAGGTTTGTTGGGGCTGAAAATTATGAAAAATTTGATTGTAAAAACGAAAAGGTTATTTCCTTAAAATAATTTAAAGTTAATTTAAATTATTTTTAGATGTCCTATAATTGGCAAATTTTAAATAAAAGTGCAGGAAAAATAATTGAGGAAGTTGGGAAAGAATTTGATTGCAAACATATGAATATTTTAAATAAATATAAATTAACAAATCAAATTAAATTGCCGAATAATTATAAAGTTAAATATATAATTTAAATATTTTTAATTGTTTTTAAGGCAACAGAACCTGGAGATAAAGAAGATAGTGCTGTTTTTGTAACAGCTTCAGATGCTAAACAAATAGATGCACTTATTTCATTAATTGGTTCAATTAAACATAGATTTGGGACAAGGCAAAGAATTATTGTTTACGATCTTGGGGGAATTTTGTTAAATGCTAAAATGGTTGGTTAGTTGGTTTTTTTGTTAAATTAAATAGGTAGGAGGGGGTATGAAAAGGGAAATATTAAAAATAATAAACTGTATTTATTTTGTAAAAAAATATATCAAAACATGAGTAATTTGTAAAGAAATACTACAACAAAACTTGGAAAATTTTATTTGAATGCTTCTAATTTTTCAGAAAGTTTAAAATAAAAAAGAATACAGTAAAACCCTTATTAACTATCCTGGGTAATTATTGTTTCGACCTTCCACTGTAGGGAGTTAATTATTGTTTTAATCTATTGCTGGATAGGGTAATTAATAGAAATGGGGTAATTATTTGAGGGGGGGGGGAATTAATACAGGTTATACCAACATTATTAAAATTCTTATATTACAAAAATTAAATTAATTTAAATAAATTTTTAGATGTATTATATAAAAAATATTTGTGCAGTAGAATATCGTCGTTTTAATTTAAACCAATTACCTCCAAATTTACGTAATATTAAAACATTTGCTTGGAAAATATTTATTTTAGCGGTTTCTCTTTTAAATTAAAATTTAAAAATATAAAAATTAAAGCAATCACATTTGGAATTTAATACTTTTATTTATGTCGATAATTCTGTTAGAATATATAATGGAGATTTTGAAAGGCATATTTATGGAATTAATAAAAGAATTTTAAGTCCATTTCTTTTTAATATGGGGACAAATCATGGAATTAAAAGAGCTACTTTGCCCGGTAATTTAAAAAAATAATTCTTTTTAAAACGGATCTTGGCCCAGGAAATAGCATTCCCCTATTTCCTGGGAAATAAATAAAAAATTCAAATTTGGAGTTTGGTTCCAAATTTCTGGGGTTTGGTTTCGAAATTTGGGGTTTGGTTTAATAACATTTTTTTAATTTTTGTTTGTTTGTAGTTTATTCGTTTATACGAATAAGTTCAAATGCCGTGGATCTAAAACACGAAAACGTTTACAGATCCAAATCAAAAATTATAAAAGAGTTATTTGCTAAAGCTGATTTATATACAGAGGGTGTGCCAGTTTCGCGTTCTGCGGATTTTCGCGTTTTTTGGACTTTCGCCTTTATCGTTTTGCGTGTCGCTTTTTTAAAATCTGTTTCGGTACACCCCTGATATATAAAACTATGTCAACATTCAATTAATTTTTAAAATCTAATTTAAACAGAAACATTTCAATATCTTCCCCTTTATACATCTGATGAAATTGATATTGAAATGCAAGAAACTCATTTTATTATTGTCCAAAAAAGTGAATTTTCTAAAGAAATATTAAAATGGTTTTATCTAATTTTTAATTTAATTTATCTAAAATTAAAAAAGGGCAATTTTATGTGCTTTAACTAAAGAATGTTTTGAACCTAAAAATAATACAAAATGTAATGCAAATCAACTTTATATAAAAGATGATAATCTTTTTGGAATATGTCATAATAATGATAAAAGTGTTCTTACTATTTTAATTAATAATGCTGAAGAAGAAATAATTTCCAAAGGTCTTTCTTTGACTTTTTAAAAAATATTAAGAAGGAAAGATAATTTTAATTTGCTTGGTGTTAGGACAAATCAAACTGAACTATAATAATATCGCCTGTAAAGATTAGCTATTTAATTCCTAAGGCTGTGTCGTAGGCGATTTGGCGTAATTAATGGATAACACATCAGTCCGGTTTACTGAATTAGCTAAAGGAGAGAAATAGTTATAGCCCAGCTGCTTTACAGCACCGGATGGTTCAGCGAACTGCTGAACGCAAGACGATCCATCCCATATACCCTGGGTTAGAAAAGGAACTTCCGCCAGAGAAGGCGATGATTTAGTTTACCCCGCATGTGATTTCCCTTTAAGACATTTCTTTTGTGAAAAAAAATATTTAAAAAATATTTTTTTTATTTTTTAGGTAATTCAAATTTAATACTTCATTCAAGTTACAACCACCATAGCCGTAGACTTAGTATTTTCCCATTTACTAATTACCAAATATTGAGAGATCATCGAGATAATCCGGATGAAGTTCTTAAAAGACATAAATGCTAATTTATTTTTAGTAAATTATTTTTAAAAAAATAAAAATTATATATATTTTTTTTAAATTCAGGGAATTTATAGAGTAAATTTAAATTGTTTAAATTTTTTGTGATAAATAAAAATAAATTGTTTTGCTATTAAATTAATTAATTTTTAGCTATTTTAAGTCTAAAAAATTTATCTGAAACTTATTAACCTCATTTAGAAAAATTAATTTAAATAATTAAAAAAAAGTTTTTATAAATATTGTGAGGATGATTCACCTGGAGAATTTAAAACACTTAGGCGGGGATTAAACTATTTAAAAGAATAAAAGAGAAAGCATTAGTCGATGCCCGGTAGTTTAGGGAGCTAGCAATAACTACGAGGAGGCCGCAGGTGGGGGAGGCCTGCCCGGCGGCTAAAACTTTTGCTAAATATTTTTTATATTTTATTTTTTGTAAAATAAAATCCGAGAAGATTTTTTTATAAAAAATTGATTTGTAACTGCAAAAATAGATAAAATTGATTAAAGAAAAATTTTTCAATTAACGAGAGGGTTTAGAGATAATCACGAGAGGCCATTCATTAAATATTAATTAAAATAAATGCCCAAACATCAATTTTTATTTTTAAAATTTTTTAATAATTTATTTAATTGTAGAGATTTTAAAATAAATTTTTAATTAAGAAATTAAACAAAAAATTAATTTGAGAATTCTGGAAGGTCGAGGAGCCAGATTTCTTCAATTTTTAGCTCAGCAGGCGATAATTTTGAAAATTTTGGAAGGTCAAGAAGCCAGATTTCTTCCAATTTCAGCGCCATTGTTGAATTTATTTAAAATAAACAGAAAATAAATTATAGATTAATTAACAAATTTAAATTAAATTAATTAATTAAATTGATTTATAAGAGTTCAATGATTAAGCGTATTTTTGGCCAAACTACATATATGGCCAAGTGCATTCAAAATAATTCTTACCCTCTCTCTTTACTCTCTCTTTTACTCTTTGGCAAAATTAAATATAATTTATTTTTAAATATTTATTTTTATTTTTTTATTTTTATTTATTATTATTAAATAAATCAATTAATATTTATTTTTAATTAGAGATTATTAATTATTTCTTTGTCAATTTTGATGAATATAATTATTTTTATTTATTTCTTTTTTATTTTTAGCATTTTTCCTTTTCAAGTTATAGGACCAAAAGGTAATTTTTTAAAAAAATATTTAAATAAAATATAAATTAAAAGGTTGGAATATTATAAAGAAAAATATAAAAAATAAAAATATTTATCGAGGTAAAATTTAAAAATAATTAGGTTATTTAATTGTAATATATTTTAAGAACCAGAACCAAAACATTTAATTAAAATAAATGATGCCGAAAAAATAACAATTAAAATAATTGAGGATATTAAAGAATTTCTTTATTTAAATCAACAACCAAGATTATTGAATAATGTTGAATTTTTAAATTATTTTGTAGATCTTTTTAAATCAAATCAAAAAAATTATCTTAAACAAATAAAAGAAAAGGAGCCTTATTTAAATGAAAATTTAAATGTTGAAGTACCCCCTCCTACAATTTATTCTTTGCTAATTAATCATGAAGATATTATTAAAGAATATTGTAATGGTATTTTGGAAATTTCTGATGGGGAAACTAGTAATAGAGGAAGGGATATTATTAAAGAAATTGAAAATTTAAATTCTTCTAATTTATGTAAAATTGGGTTTATGTTTGGATTTGCTAAATTTTTTGGTAAATTTTTTTTGGAAGAATTGAATAAAAATGGATATTCGAGTGAAGATGAAGAAAATGAAATTGAAAGAATTAATTGGGGTAATTGGGTAAAGGTAAATAAATAATTAAGAGGGAATAATTAAGTTAAAATTATTTTTAGGAAACAGAAGAGTTTTTGAACAATTGTTATATAATTTGGGAAAAGATAAGACAATTAAAATAATATATTATTTAAAACAAAAATGTTGAATTTATTTAAAATAAACAAAAAATAAATTATAGATTAATTAACAAATTTAAATTAAATTAGTTAATTAAATTGATTTATAAGAGTTCAATGATTAAGCTTATTTTTGGCCAAACTACATATATGGCCAAGTGCATTCAAAATAATTCTTACCCTCTCTCTTTACTCTCTCTTTTACTCTTTGGCAAAATTAAATATAATTTATTTTTAAATATTTATTTTTATTTATTTATTATTATTAAATTAATCATTAAATTAATTAATTAATATTTATTTTTAATTAGAGATTATTAATTATTTTTTCAGTCAATTTTGATGAATATAATTATTTTTATTTATTTCTTTTTTATTTTTAGCATTTTTCCTTTTCAAGTTATAGGACCAAAAGGTAATTTTTTAAATTTAATATTTGAATAAAATATAAATTAAAAGGTTGGAATATTATAAAGAAAAATATAAAAAATAAAAATATTTATCGAGGTAAAATTAAAAAAAATTAGGTAATTTAATTGTAATATTTTAAGAACCAGAACCAAAACATTTAATTAAAATAAATGATGCAAAAGAAATAACAATTAAAATAATTGAGGATATTAAAGAATTTCTTTATTTAAATCAACAACCAAGATTATTGAATAATGTTGAATTTTTAGATTATTTTGTAGATCTTTTTAAATCAAATCAAAAAAATTATCTTAAACAAATTAAAGAAAAGGAGACTTATTTAAATGAAAATTTAAATGTTGAAGTACCCCCTCCTACAATTTATTCTTTGCTAATTAATCATGAGGATATTATTAAAGAATATTGTAATGGTATTTTGGAAATTTCTGATGTGGAAACTAGTAATAGAGGAAGAGATATTATTAAAGAAATTGAAAATTTAAATTCTTCTAATTTATGTAAAATTGGGTTTATGTTTGGATTTGCTAAATTTTTTGGTAAATTTTTTTTGGAAGAATTGAATAAAACAGGGTATTCGAGTGAAGATGAAGAAAATGAAATTGAAAGAATTAATTGGGGAAATTGGGTAAAGGTAAATAAATAAGAGGGAATAATTAAGTTAAAATTATTTTTAGGAAACAGAAGAGTTTTTGAACAATTGTTATATAATTTGGGAAAAGACAAAACAAACATATATTGATAATGCTGAAAGTGCTAAAATGAAAACAAAAAAAGTAAATATTTCTTAAATTCAAAAATATATTAATTAATTTATTTATTTAGTCTAAAAATAAATTTGAAGTCCTCAATTTGGAAGAAATTGAAAAAGAAATTAAAAACAAATATGAAATTAAAGAAATTAACGAATTTGATTAGAATTTTGTCCTATAGTTTTCATTTTTTCTAATTTTTCTTCTGTTAAGTTTCTTTAAGTATTGGAAATTAGGGGCTGTATTTTTTGAGATTCTCGATTGACAAAAATTTTGATCAACCAAATATTCATTAAAAAATATTCGTTACTTTTATTTGTTAAAAATTTAATCCTCCAATTACTAGACATATTTAAATGTTTCTAAAATTATTTTTATTTATTTACACATTATCTTTTATGGATTATTTAAAAATTATTCAAACTATGTAATTATTTTTTAGTAAATTATTTTATAAATTTAAATTTTATATTTTTATTTTGATAATTTTTTGAATTAATTTATCTTCAAATTTTACGTTTGAAAATGACAAAAATTTGATTTCAACAGAAATTGTAAAGAAAGAATTTTGATTTAGGTGCAGAATAAATTAAATAACATATGAATTTAAAATTCCCACGAGATTTTTCCTTTTTAAACAGCTGTTTTTTTAATAATTTTCAGTCGTGTTTAAATGAATAAAATTAATTGTGATTGAAATAAGGAAAGTGAGGCTTTAGATTTAGTATATATTTACCCTATAAAGAGTATAGGAAGAAAACTTTAAATTAATAAATTATTTGGTAGTTTTCACAAATTAAATAAAAAGATTCTCAAACAAAATAACTATTAAATCTAGAAAACTTTTTTTTACTTTTATTATTAGAAAATAATTTATAAAAACTTGGTGTTAATTTTTTAAATTAAGAAACTTCTAAAATTATTTTTAAAAATTAATTTAAATTTTATTTTTAAATAAATTTATTATTTATTAATTATTAATTAATCAATTATTAATCATTAATTATTGTTTAACGTGATTAAGGGCAAGAAAGGGAGAAGGAGAGGATATATCCCCTTATTACTCCCCCTCAAAAATTTAAAAACTACTAAATTGATTTATATGTAGCTATTCTTTTTTAATTAAAATTAAAAATTTTAAATTATTAGCAAGTCTAAATAAATATTTTAATTAAATTAATTTAAATTTTTATAAATTTAAATTATGCGTCAAATTATTATATTGAAATTCCTTCTATTTTCCATAATAATTTTGCCATTTGAAGTGATTGCCCCCAAAAATAGTATTTTTAACAATAATTAAATGTAAATATAAAATTAAATTTTAAGAATGGAATCCTTTTAAAAATATAAAAAATATTGGAATTAGCAGCAGTGGTACAGGTCTAAATAAATAAATTAATTAATTAAATTAAAAAAAGACATACTTATAAGATTTAATTATATATAACTTTCATAAAAATTTTCGGAAGTTAACATAATAATTTGTCAATAACTACTACATATTAATTGAAAATATAAGTGTTTTTTATCCTTATCTTTTTATCTCTCCTTTAAAATAAATTGAGAAAGAGTGTAAATATTTACTGGCACAAATATAAATGCCAAAAATTAATTTAGAAATTAAAAAAAAATTTATTTAAGTTCCCAAGTATCAAATAAAAGAAGCTGATGCTAAAATTATATCTTTTAAAATAATTGATCTTATCAAAGAAAAACTTTTTCAAGAAAATAATTTAGAAGGGGAAAATATTGTTAATCAAGTAAATATTTAATTAAAAAAAATATAATTTTTAAATTAAAGAATTCAATTAAAATTTTATTAAATCAAATAAATTTTAATGAGGAAATTAAAAATAGAGAAATTAATTTAATTACTGACCGTGAGGAAGTAATATATGAATATTGTGAAAAAAGATTAAATAAATCGAGAAATAAACATAAACAGTTTGAATCACAAGATTATTTAAATTCTTATAATTTTTGTAAAGTTGGGTTTTTATTTGCTTTTGTTAAGTTTTTTTCAGAGGAGGGAATATTTGTGAATGAAACTGGTAACTGGAAAAATGTATATTTAAAGAAAAATTTTAATTTATGTAAATTTTTAAAATTTTAAGGAGATAAATAATTTTATAAATATTTCATATGAAAGTTGGGAAAAAGCTAAAAAAATTATTTTGGGCAAGTCTAAGCTATTTAAAGAGGGAAATAATGATGAATATTTAATTAGAGAAATTAAAGCAATAATGATGAAAACAAAAGAAGTATTGTTTTAATTATTTAAAATTATTTAAAAGGATTAGCTTAATATTCCCTTAAAATAGAATATTTAAAATTAAAAGTATTTTAAATAAAATTAATTTTAAAAAATTATTTAGTATAAGAAAAATGTAAAAAAGCTCAATTTGGAGGAAATTGAAAAAGTAATTGATAACAAATATGAAATTGAAGAATTTAATGAATTCGATTGAAAATGTCATTAAAAATGAAAGGAAAATATTATTTATTTATCGTTATTTGGCGAAACCAAACCTTTACTGGGAAAACTCAACAAATTTTTAAAAAATTCGTTTTATCAAAGTTGGAAAAACTTTGCATCCTTTATAACTAAAAATTAGGGTTGTTCCCCAACGGGGGGAGGGCTACGGGCAGGGGCGGGAACGAGGAAATTTTTTTACGAGGGGGGGGGGGGGGGTCGAGGACAATTTTTACGGGGAAATTTTGATGAATTAAAGACTAAAATTTTGAAAATTTTAGAAGTTCATAGGAGGAAAACAAGGAATTTTCACAGGGAATTGAAAATTCCCCAACTTTCGGGGACGGTGAACAACCCTACTAAAAATTGTGATTTTTTAGTATAATTACATATTTAACAATTTAGATATTAAATACCCATTATTTAATTATTTATCAAAATATTTATTTTCTAAAAGTAAAAGGAAATTTTCTTAAACACAATTTATTTTCCATATCAAAATTTACATACAGTCGTGGAAAAAAGTATGGAAGCGCTAGAAATTTTTTTCTTAATTCTTAATTTTTCATTCAAAAAATACGTTCTATATACCAATCGAAAGCTCTATTCGTATCTCAGTTGACATGTTTCTGCATTTTTCATGAAAATGAAAATTGGCCGAGATAATCCGGATCTACCGGATATACCAAATCCCACTTTTTCGGAAAAATTTTTCGGAACAAATTTAACAAACCCATTTGATAAAGCATATTTTTCTGAGTATTTTCCACAAAACCGCTTAGAAATATCTTTTTCCGGAACAGAGATATGATTTTTTGAAAATCGTATTTTTCGTCAATTTTTGCAAAAAATTCGATTTTTAAGGGAAAAATACGATTTTCAAAAAATCATATCTCTGTTCCGGAAAAAGATATTTTTAAGCGGTTTTGTGGAAAATACTCAGAAAAATATGCTTTATCAAATGGGTTTGTTAAATTTGTTCCGAAAAATTTTTCCGAAAAAGTGGGATTTGGTATATCCGGTAGATCCGGATTATCTTGGCCAATTTTCATTTTCATGAAAAATGCAGAAACATGTCAACTGAGATACGAATAGAGCTTTCGATTGGTATATAGAACGTATTTTTTGAATGAAAAATTAAGAATTAAGAAAAAAATTTCTAGCGCTTCCATACTTTTTTCCACGACTGTATGTCTAAAAAATACAAATTTAAAGTATAGGAGTTCCAAAAGCTATTTGTCTCTTTTCAATGTCCAATTCATTAATCCCTCTAACAAATTTAAAAAATCCATTTAATTCTCCCCAATTACTTCCAAAAGAATTTATTCCAAGCCAATATTTTTGAAAACTTCCATCAGAACAAGTATAATTTCCATAACCAATTAAACGAACAGCATGTCCAATACAACCACTAATAGAGTCTCTACCTGCGCAGGGACTTTCTATATAATTGTAAATGCCCGATTTGTAATTCTGAAAAAATATATTTTAAACAGATTATTTGAAGACAAATTGTGTGCTAATTAATAAAAAGTTAATGAGAGATGGTGTATTGGGGCTCCAAAAATTTTTAAATTTTTGAAAATTGAGGCCACTCCTGAGTCGAGGAATTATTCTATTGCACTTATACAGATTCTTGACACAGATATTTCTACTATACCATAAAATATATAGTATCAGATTTTAAATACCTCGACAAAATCTCTGTGGAGCAGAAAGGAAGCACTGATTGATCCACCATTAAATATTGCTTCTTTCATTTCTTTTTCCCAAGTTTTTTGGCCTTTAGGCAAGTCTTTAGCATATAAAGCTCTGACATTTTTTGCTTAAAAATAATAAGCAAAAACTTAGGATTAATTTTGTTCCCAATTTATACCCTTTCTTTTGTCAAGTTCATATTCAAAAGTTTCATTTCCGTAAGCTGTATTTGAACAAATATCTTTACAGTTCTTTTTAAAGGCATATTGAGGTGTAGTTGTTGCCTCTTCAATTGGCGGGAATGGATATGGAATACATCCACCCATTTGGAAATTATGTCCACTAACAACTCCAACTTTTTCAAACCACTGCCAGGCTACACCTGATGAACCACCAGTACAGCTAAAATATATTTTTCAGAGAGTAAAAAATAATTTAAGTTTGGAAGAGCGTTAGAAATTTTTCTAGAAAATCTGCCCTCTATTTTTGACAAAGTTTTGAAATCTTATAACTGAAGATAGTGATTCGAAAAAAGAGCTCAAACCCCGAGACTGTCCAATAATCTCAAAAACACGGATATTCTTGAATAAGATCTTCCCCCAGATCCTTTTCCACCATTTTTATTTTACGTAAACTAACGCATCACGATTAGGAGAATCAGAACAAACAGCAGTATCATATGCAGAAGCAAAGAAAGAATCTATTACTTCTATTGGAATTTTATTTTTAACCATTTCAATACATCTACGATCAGTAAAAGTTGAAGAAGCAGAAATTGCCCAACAATCCTTACAGAGTGATTGGTCTCGAATATTGTTAATTCTTTAAAAAAAATATCTTTTTTTGAATTTAAAATTATATATAGGATTACATTTCTTTACATTCTGGCCATTTATCTCGAATATCAAAAACATAATCGTTGCAAGTTATATTTGCTTAAAAAAAGATTTTTTTAATCTAAACTTCAAATAATTTACTCAATTCCCCCTCATCATTTTCCAAAACAAATTTTTCAACAAATTTTAATTCTGGTTCTGTAACATTAGAAGGTTCTATTCTTGGAAGAGAACGAGCTTCTGCTTCCCCCATACCCGGAGGCAAAACATCCCCACCAAGCATTTCAATTTCTTCATCACTTAACAAAGCTAAATGTTCATTTATTCCACTCTACAAAATTAAAATTAAAAAAAATTTAATTTTTAATTTTAAACCTTCCATTTCCCTCTTAATCCTTTTACTTTTTCCTTTCCTTTACGTAATTTTGATAAATTTTTATTTTTTCGACCTAATCTTGTTTCTTTTTCAGATTTTCTTAAATTATTTCTTCCTTTAATTATTTTTGTTTTAATTTCCGATTCTTTTTGTTTTTCTTCATTTTCCAAGTCTTTTTTCTTTTCATTTATTTTTGGATGATTTTTATTTCCTTCTTTTTTCTTCTCTTCATTTACTTCTTTTGTCGTATCATTTTTTGGTTTTTCTTCAATTTTTATTTTGTCCTGTTTTTCTTCCAAAGAATTATTATTTTTAATTTCATTTGCTAATAAATTAATTAAAATTTTATTTTCCTTTTCATCTTTTTTGGGATTATTATTAACTTCTTTTTTAGATTCAACTTCGCCTCTCTCAGGTTTAACTTCTTTGTCAATTATTTCAGTTATGTTGTTAGTCTAAATATAAAATACATAGATATATAGTAGATAATTTAATTTTTTTATTATTTTAAAATAAAGTCGAATCTCATTTTTAAATACTCCAAAAGAATTAGAAAAATCGTATTTAAAATCAAGGGGTAACTTAAATTGAGAGTTAAGTATTTATTCAAAAAAATTTTAGTCTATTCAATAATGAGTTTTTTGCTAAAATTTAATAAAAGTTTTTTTATAAAAACCTCCCAAAAATTGTTATCAAATAAAATTATGAATCAAATACGATTGAATATAACCAAACTCAAACAGTATGTTTGGACAATAATACATATGTTCAATATTTACCTCGTCTTTTTGTTTATGATGTTTTTTATTTTCATGATTATTGGCAGTTGTTAAAACAAAAATACAAATATTAAATAATAAAAAATAAAATAAAAATAAATTAATTGATTTACTGACCATTACTAAAATAAAATAATATTTTTAAAAATAAAATAAATTCTTAAAAATTAAAGAAAATGAACAAAAATTGTTGTTATTATTTAGAAGAAACTTATTTTTATTTTTATCTTCCTCTAATAAATTTACCTTTTACTATTAATGTCGATTTTGTTGAAGGCCTTTTCTCTCATCGTTCTCAAAGTTTAGTAACGCAACAAGTTTTTAAATATATAAATTATGCAGAAAATAAAGGCCGTTCTTTTTTAATATACCGTTCCAGCAATATTAACAATTTTCTTTAATAAAAATTAAAAAAATAAAAATAAAATTTAAAAACAAAATTAGTTAGTAAATGGAAGGAATTATTTTTAAATAAAAAATATGAAACGATTAGACATAGACAATGGGATTGTTGACTTGAATGGAAATAAAATTTTGTGAATTATAATTCAAGAAGTTGAAGCTTATTTTTTAGAGGACAATCAAAGATGTTTTATTTTTTAGAAGAAAACTAAAATTATTTTTTTTCTAAATATCTACATACATAAATTGTTTGAAGTGTCTAATATTGAGATTTAATAACTTTAAACTTAATCAGAAGGAAATCATTAATCAGTATGAGATACTAAAAGAAGTAAAAAATAAAGTATACATTATCACTTTCAACATCCCTTAACGATATCCACAACTATAAAATATGCATAAGATGGAAAAGCAAAAAAATATGCTTCGGATTTGTTTTATTAATGGAAATTTTGAAATAATTGTAACTTGATTTTGAAAATAAAATAATTGTTTTTATCTAAATTTTCTACATTTAAATTTTTTAATTAAGAAAGTATAGGATAAAATAAAATTATCAGAAAATTAAAAGATTTCCTCTTAAAATTCAATCGAATTTATCAATTAAGAACATATTAAACTCATGTATATCCTCAAAACATATCCAAAATTTTGAATTATTAATTAAAATCAACATACCGTAAATTCTGAAATAATTACTCTCTCTCAAATAATTACATTCTCTAATAATTACACTCTAGTTTTTTACGCAAATTTTAAAAATATTTAAAAAGTTATGATCGAATTTAGTTATTGGAAATCCAGAACCAACTCCAGAACATCCACTCTAATAAATTATTAGAGAGAATGTTCCCCTCCAGCGAGAGATTAAAACAATAATTACCTGGGGTAATTAGTTCAGCATTTAAGTTATGTACATATGTATATATCCCAAATAATTCCAATTTACCTTTAAATATTTTTGTTTTTCATTTACATTTATTTCAATTCTTTTAGAAAAACAACTAGTTTTGTTTTCTCACTTTCCTCTCTTTTATTTAAATAAATAATGGACCAAAGCGGAAACTTTTCTGGACTTTTTAAAAAGAATGTTAAAATATATCGGATGTTGTGGACAGTTAAAATATTATATTTTTTTTTGAAATAAATGAAAGAAAAAATGTCAAAAAATAAATAAATATATTTACTCTTTTGTTTTTCAAATAAAAACTTTTAATTTCTTTAAAGCTTCTGGCATATTTTCTTTAAAAACTTGTTTTTATTTATAAAATGACCTGTAATAATCCCCTTCTTATTTTAAGTCATTCTTTTGGCCTAAAAAAGAACACAAAAGAATTTAATCGAAAAAGTACTTCTTGGACAACAAATAAATCTCGAAATTTAGAAATATTTGTTTAAAAAAGGTTGTTGGAAGTTAATTCTATGGGATTAGACACCCCCATCCCCCTTCCCTCTCCCCCCTTCCCCCCCCCCCTCCCCCATCCCTCATCTTTACATATTCGCGCAATTACATTTACTATTACTTTTGTTGTCCTTTATTAAAGCTCTAATTTTGTAATTGTTTTTTTTTCTAAAAATAGATTTTAATTTTAAATAATAATTTTTAATAAAATATAGAAAATTAATTTAATATATAAAATTATTTTTAAAAAATGAACTCCAACAGAATTAACACTAACATTAGACAACAACAACAAATAATTGATGGACAACAATTAATTCAATCACGTTCAAGTATTTATTCTTCTGATGGGTTTTCTTGTTCATCTGACAGTTTACCTGCTCCCTTACTTTACCAAAGAAATTCTTCGAATATCGTAGAATTTGAACAAAATCAACAAAATATTCATTTAAATCAAAACAATAATAGACAAGCTCAGACAAATTTGGCTTGGGATACTTTTAGGTTATTACCTCCAGAACCTGATAAAAATAATAAAGGTGAATAGAATTTTAGACTGGTTTATTAAAACATTTATTAGGATTAAATTGTAGCTTTATTCATTTTTTAAGATTAAAAATTTTCTCTTTAATTATTTAATCCCAAATTTTTTTAATTTAATTTTTAGCCAATTTATATATCATCTTTCTTCAAATACTCAAATTATTAACATTTTTTGTACTTTTTATTATCACACTTAGCAGCTCTATAATTTCTAAATTAATTTTGCTTGTAATGGCCGCAGGTTTAGGACAATCTGGTAAAAATATAAGTATTTGTCCAGACAAAATACCTGGTAAATTTTTGAAATCATTTCATTAGTTTTAAATATTATTTTCAGAATCTACAGAAAATAGGGTTATTATTTCACCAAAAAATGCGGCAAAATGGGCTTGGGCCCTTCTATTGTCTTTATGTTTACCTGAGTAATTAAAATTATTTTTTAAATAATTTTTTTTAATTAAAAAAGATTATTTTGTTTTGCTCGTTCTCTACATCGAAGTATGTTCAGAAAAGTTAGAGGCCTTGCTTTTGCTCATTTTTTAATTGTTATTATTTATTTTAATTAAATTTTAACTTCAGCAGAGGGCTAATTAAGGATGCACCCCAATTCCGGCCAACTTTAACAGTTCAACCCCAACTCCGAAAGTTCAACTCCAAAAAACCCGAACCTCAATTTTCTAATTTTGGAGTTTTTAAATTATCTAAACTTTTAAAACCAAATTAATAATCATGGTAGGAGAAGGCACCTTCAAACGAAGTAGAGCTTTTCGCTTTCCCACCACCACTCCTCTCCCCTTGCAACCGGACAAAACTCCAATTCCGAATCGGGGCGCACCCTATATTAAATTGTCTAAATAATTTAATTTTGAATTAATTTAATTTAAAATAATTTGTTTCAAGATGTTCACAGTAGAAAGTGCTCATGCATTTGGATTGGGTGCCTTAACTTTTAAAATAATGCCAAATATTTCAGCCATTACCAGTGAATAATATTTTTCTCAAAATTAAAAATAGTCATTTTCTTTTCAAGTTCTTCAATTAGCAAATTCATTGTGTTTAATTCCTTCAATATTACTTTTATTTAGTCGACCTATTAATCGCTGGCTTCCATTATTTTTATTAATTGATACTAGTGCAATTCTTGCTCAATTAAGTGCTTTTATTTGGAAGAAATATTTTGTAAATTTTTTGAAAAAATATATTAAAAAGGAATCCTTTACATAAAAATTTTTTTAGCCGATTGACAATTTTATATTTTTATGTACTTTTTTAATTTCCATTACTTGGTGGCAGAATTTTATGCATCCAAAATCGTTTTTTCCGTTAACAAGATTTTTTGCTTATTATGCAACAAAAATACGTGAATGCCGTTCTAAGGCTTATTTGGTGAGAGAAATATTTATAAAGTTATTATGTAACTTTTACCCACCCGCAAGAAGATCTTAAAAATCAAATATTAATTTTAATTGGTTTCAAACTGGAAATATTTATAAAAAGAGCAATCAAAAATAAAATTTTAAATTAAAAATAAATATATTACCGTATTTCTTCTAATAGTGCGACCGGTCGGTTTATTTTCCAACCATCCTCTAGAGGGTCGGGTCGGTTTATTAGAAGGGGTCGGTCTAATAGAGGGAGTTAGAAGAAATACGAAAGAAATACTATTAGAAGAAATACGATATTTAAATTATTTATTTTAAAAAGATAATTTCTCCATGGAAATGTTTAATTTTTACTTTTTGTATGTTTCAATTTGTTCCTTCAAATAATGTTTCAATTAATTATTTACTCCAAAAAGACCCCTTTGGAGAGCATTTAATTACCATAAATGCCTATAATTTAAATCAAACACAATTAAATTTATTTCAAAAAAGGATGGAAGAATTACAAAGAATTAATGAGGGTTATAGTAAATATCAGCAACAAATATTAACCCCAAAAATAAAATTAAATAGAAAAATTGTTGAAGAAATAAATGGATTAATTAATGGAACAAAAAATAATAATTTTAAAAATAAAAAAATAATTGTTGAAAGAAAAATTAAAGAAAAAATAAAAAGAGAAAGAAGAAAAGTTGAGAAAAAGGAGGATGAAGAAGAGGAAGATGTAGCTGCTTATAATGTTTGGAAATTTTTTAAAAAGAAATTTATTAGAAAAACCTTCCCCGTAAAAACAAATATGTTTTTGCGATAGAGAAAGAATCTAGCAAAAGTTTAGCTACAGGGCAGGATTCAAAAACCTGCGCACTCCTGACAGTTATTGCTAGGCGCTTTTGCTCACTATATAGAGGAGCTCTCGACCACTGAGCTACCGCGGCATCGACTAATGCTTCCTTTTTTATCCTTTTAAAAAAGTGCTCTAGGTGAATCCTCTCTTATAATAGTTTGCGGATTTATTTAGCAAAAAGATAAATCCACAAAAGGAGATCCTCATATTCTTCTATATATCCCACAGCCAAAGACTCCACAGCTTAATCGGATCCATTTATAAATTCTTGTTTTTTTCTTCCCCAAATTAAAACGAACTCTAAAATATTTTTGTCTAAAATTCTAGTCAAATTATTTTAAAAAATTAAAGATTTATGAGGACCGTATAGAATTAAACCAATTTACAACAGCTTATGATGCCCTCTGGTTAGCATTTATTCAAATTGGAAGTTCTTTAATTTGTCAATTAAGTGCTAAATTTGCCTGCAAAGTATTTACTCTATTTTTGTTTATTTATTTTTTAATCAAAAAAGGTTTTGATGCAAAGAATGGGGTTGGCACTTCCAGTGTTTTTGTCTGTTCCAATTAGTATAATATTACTCTCAAATTTTTGTCAAAAAAGAGCAAAAGATTCGTGTTATTTAAATGATTGGATAAGTAAAGAATTATTTTGGAAATGCCCTTCTAGGTAATTAACTTTTTAAATTTAATTTTAAAAATTATTTTTAGGTCCTTAACTTGGAATCGTTTTTGGAGAGAATTTCCAAATATTTTATGGTTGGGGTGGTGGTTATCACAATCTTGGTTTTTTGTTATTCTTATTATACTCCTTTTCTTATCAATTCTTAGGGTTACAATACACATTTGGTTTCCTAAACAAGAGAGATTAGCTAAATCTGACGAGTATTTTCTTTTAATTTTTTATAAAAATCATTAAAATTAGTTTGTTCCTCCTCGGCTATTTTGATGGAGTATTTCCTGAACAAGCCATTTCTTTGGATCGAAGAAGAGACGATAAAATTCGAATTCGATCTGATGTAAATAAAATTAAAATATTTTTAAATTAATTTAAATAAAATAAAAGGAGATTGAAACTGAGGATGAAGATGATGGAAATGGAAGTACACATACTTGTGAATCAGCTGCTTCTGGAAATTCTCCTAGGCCTACAGCTGGTTTAATTAATGCCACATCTGTTAGTAGTAGTATAAGTAATACTAGTCAAAGGTCAGATGGAGGATTAATAAGGTGAATAGTTAAAATAAGGTGCTAGGCAGAATTGCCCTCCTCCCCCAATAACAATTTCCTACATGGTAAATACTATCTTCTACCAGGCTGAGAATTATCTGCTTCTCCTGAAAAACGTAAGGAGGGTATGTTAAACCAATAAACCATTCATTCACGTATTGATGGAAGTAAAACTTTTCTCCGAATCTGGACATCTGAGTTTTACTTTGCCTTAACTATTACATAGATTATAAGATTTTTATTTTTTCTAATTAAGGGAGTTGCCAAGTAGTGCCGATACTATTTGTAAAATTTATGTTTGCGCAACTATGTGGCACGAAAGTGCATTAGAAATGGGTTGTATGTTGAAATCCATTTTTAGACTTGACGAGGTGATAAAAATTCAAAGCAAATAATTTTTTAATTTAAAACAGGATCAATGCGCACGTAGAAATGCTCAACGTTATTTGAAGGTAAAAATATTTTTATATATAAAATTCAATTAATTTAGATTGTAGACCCTGATTATTATGAATTTGAAGCACATATTTATTTAGATGATGCTTTCGAATTAAATGAACATAATAATCCAATACCTAATAAATTTGTTCATCAATTACTTGGAAGTATGAATGAAGCTGCCTCGTTAGTTTTTTAAAATGAAGTTGAGATAATAATATTTTTTAATTAAAGTTCTGTACACCAAACACAACTTCAACTTCGTACACCCAAAATTTGTATTACTCCTTATGGGGGACGAATTAGCTATGTTTTGCCTGGACGGAATAGACTTTCTATTCATCTTAAAAATAGGTGAATAATTAATTATAGGGAAATAATTATTTGCGTATTCTAGGTTCCTTATCAGACAAAGAAAACGTTGGAGTCAAGTAAGTTTTTGTTTATAATAAACACCTACCTACAAAAATTAAGGTTATGTATCTTTATTTTCTTCTTGGATTTCGTCTCACTCTTCGTGTTAATGACAATAAAAGGAGAGAATTACTTGCAGAAAATACTGTAGGTTATTTTAAAATTATTTAAAACAATTAGCTTTAATAATTTGGGGTTATTAATTAGATTATAACCCCAAATTAAAATTAATAATTAATTAATAATTAATATAATTAAAATTAATAATTAATATAAATTAATAATTTGATCTAATAATATAAATTCCTTTTGCTTCATTTGCACGATTTTTATCTAAAATTAAGAAAGAATCCTTAATTCTAAATAATATTTTTCTTTTGCTCGAGACAAATTTCATAGTCCCAAAAGTTCCAAGCCTTACATTTCCTTGTAGCTTGTAATTTTTTAAAGTTTATACTAACATTGGATGGAGATGTTGATTTCCAACCAGAATGTGTACATTTATTAGTTGATTTAATGAGGAAAAATCGTCGATTAGGTGCTGCTTGTGGACGTATCCATCCTCGTGGTTCTGGTAAAATAAATAAATTTTTCTGATTATTTCTTAAAAAGGTATAATGATTTGGTATCAAAAATTCGAATATGCCGTTGGGCATTGGTTACAAAAAGCTACAGAGCACATGATTGGGTAGATAAATATCTAATTTAGAAATTAAATTAATTAAAAGTTGTGTTCTTTGTTCTCCTGGCTGTTTTTCACTTTTTCGCTCATCTGCTTTAATTGATGATAATGTGGCGCGTAAATATGCAACTAAAGTTTATATTAATATATTTTATTTTTATTAATTAATTAAAAGTCTGAAAAGCCTTTCCACTATGTCCAATATGATCAAGGAGAGGATCGCTGGTTATGCACTTTACTTCTTCAACGAGGCTATCGGTTATTTGATTTTAAATTGAAAATAAATTTAAAAAATATTGTTGATTTATCGACTGGGTTTTCGATATTTATCGAATAAAAATCCATCGAGTTATCTCTCCAGTCTATAATTAGTAGTACTTTATTTGTGATTTTGATAACTCCTATTACTTATAGATCTTGGTAATCTAATCATAAATTAGTGCTTTTCTAAACACTAATTCACTAATCTGAAAAGATAAGAGATTGAGATAATTGTATATACCGTTTATGCTGAAATAATCACCCAATCTCGAATAATTACTCCCTCCCTATTAATTACCCCCTCCAGCGAGAGATCGAAACAATAATTACCCGGGGTAATTATTTCAGCATTTACGGTATGTAGACCTCTCAGAATTCGACAAGAAAAAACTTTCTAATTTTAACAAAATTTTTTTAAGAGTTGAATATTGTGCAGCTTCGGATGCCTTAACTTTTGCACCAGAAGGTTTTAAAGAATTTTTTAATCAGCGAAGAAGATGGATTCCCTCTACAATGGCTAATATAATTGATTTACTTCAAGATTACAAAAATGTTGTTAAAGTTAATGATTCTGTGTCTATTTGGTATATTGCTTATCAATTAGTTATGTTATTCTCGTCTGTTTTGGGACCTGGAACTATTTTCTTGATGGTGAAATTAAAATAAATATTTTGTAAATTTAAACTTAGATTGTTGGGGCTATTTCTATTTCTTTTAATGTTGATACTCGTCTGGCGTTATTAATTGTTACAACACCTGTTGTGTGTTTTTGTATTTGTTGTTTGACTTGTAGTACTGACACTCAGGTTGTTAACTTTAACAAATGAGACTTCTTAATCCAGATCCCCTTTTGGGGAAAGTATAATTAGGTATATTATTATACCTTTATCACTTCACTTCACAAATTACTGCTTTTTTAAGATAGATACTAATAGTTAAGTCTCAGAACTTTAACATATCAAGAATAAAAATATGTATTATTATTACCAGTTATTATTGGCACAAATAATTGGAGCACTTTTTGCAATGTTAATGACTGCGGTAATTGTGGGGACTTCACTACAAATTCAAAAAGATGGAATTCTCTCCCCTCATTCAATATTTCTGTTTACAGTTTTAGGAAGCTGGACATTTTCTGCTCTTTTACATCCACTTGAATTTTTATGTCTTTTACCTTGTGGACTGTATTTTTTGGCAATTCCTTGCATGTAAAATATAACTATATTTAATCAAAAATCTAAAAATGACTGCATTCTCTCAAAAGTTTTCATTCTCCTTTGGAATTCGTTAAAAGATTTTTAACTTAAAATTTAAAAAGGGGTACACCACGATATACCGCGAGCCCAGTATAGCGCCGAACTATAACTTCGTTCAATATTGTAGAATCCGAGAGGCCTTGGTATAGTTTGATTCAGCTTGTCGAGTCGCATCGAATCATACTAGGGCGTCCCTGATTCGACAATTTTGAATGAAGTTATAGCTCGGCAGTATATTTGGCCCGCGGTATATCGTTCTCCTCCTTAAAAAAGTTAGAAAATTATTTTAAATTTTCATTAAACTTTAAAAAAAGCAAAATTAATATTTAGGTACATGTTATTACCAATTTATTCACTTTGTAATTTAAATACAGTCAGCTGGGGAACTCGTGAGAATAATACAGTTTCTGGTTATTTATCTCAATTATTTAAAGATTTATTTTATTTTTTTAGAAAAAAATAAAAACAAAATACATTTAATTAAAGAAAAAAATGGTAAAGTTAACAAAAATATTTTTAAAAGAAATTTTGTAAAAAATGTTTAGGAGAAATTTCTATGGGTTGTGGGAATTTCTGTCGAATTGTTTGTTGTGTCCAAAATTCTGAAAATTCCCAAGAACCTTTAGAAGTTCGCCGTCTTGGAGAAGGACTTAAAATTATTGAAAAGAAATTGGATAGTCTTGATAGAAAAAGTAAAAATGAAAATATTAAAATTGAAAATGAAAGGGAAGAAGAAAATAAAAAGGAAGAAGAAAAAGTTAAAGAAATGGACTTTAAAAGATGGATTGAATTAAAACCTTTTAATAGGTTTTTAAACGAAAATTTGTTGATAATTTAATTTAAAATATTAAGTTTTGAACCTGCTGTTTTAAATCCAGATGAAGAATCTTTTTGGCAGGAAATGATTGATAAATATTTGAAACCTATTTATTCAGATTCTCAAGAACAAGGTTATTGGACACTTTATTTTGCAAAATAGTTAATCGGGGTGGATATCCAGCTCACTTTCTAGCTTTCGAAAATTAGTACTCTCGTGTTATATGCCCGCATTTTTCTTTTTTCCTGCTCAGTCAGCTATAACTTTTTTATGCTTAATCCAAATTCGAATGAACCTTATATATATCATCTGAAAGCTCTCGCTATCTTTTTTCGAACTTTTGCGGATAAGTAGATTACCCTTTTCTGGACACTTTATAGAAACCCAAAGAACATTTGACAAATATAAATTTATAATTTAAATATTTAGAAAGGATACAGCAAGGCCTTAATGAACTTAGAAATAATGTAAATTTTATTTAAAAAACATGTTTTGTAAATAAATATTAAAGTGTTGTTCGGCCTTTTTTATGGTTAACAGTGTATTTATTATTGTTGTTTTAATACTTCAATTACAAAAAGATTGTTTGCATATTGGTGCTTTTTAAATAAAATTGAAAAGTATTTTTTTTAAATTAAGAATGGCCTCTTGGCCCGTTAGTTAATCAAACACGAGTTCAATGTGGAGGTGGTGGTGGTGATTTTGACCCAGAGGGGGAAGAGTGGGTAATGAGCAGATTGCAATTAGAGCCAATGGGATTTGTTTTTATTGTCTTCTTTCTTGTTATACTTTTTATACAGGTAAAGTTGCCTGTCCTAAATATTTCATTAGACCTTGTATGTATTATACTTAAAATTATTCATAATTGTAGTATTTTTTGTGGGAGTAACTCTTTCAAATCCCCCCGCCATCGATCACTCAGAATTTCGAATCACTTTTAATTTCAAAATAATTTTTTCCTAAAAAAGTTTCTTGCCATGCTCTTCCATCGTTTTGGTACAATTACCCATATAATTGCCTCTACTGAACTTTGTTGTTCTCAACAAACTTTTGATAAACTTAGTGAGGATGAATTAGTAGCTCATAATGCTGTTGAGATTGCTAGGTAATTAAAATTATTTTAAAGGAAATATGCCGTTTTTTGTTAAAGAATTTTGTGAAATTAATTTTTAAAATTTATTTAAATATTTAATATCATTAATTAGTGAAAATAAAAAATAAATTTTAATTTTTTTCAGAGAACTTCAATCATTTAAAGGTCTAAATATAAATATACCACAACAACAACAAAATACTAACATAACTCAACAACAAAAATATTTTGTACAACCAAATCAACAACAATTCCAACAACAACAGAATCAAATATTTAATATTAATTTACACCAACAACAATTACCAACAACATCCTCCAATTTAAATAATAAAATGGATACTTTGGATGCTGCTTTTAAAAAAAGATTTTTTGCTTTATCAACAACAAATAATCAACAACAAAAACAAATTATTGGAAATAAAAGTTTTGGAAGAAATTTTACTTTAAGGAAAAGAACATTGAGAGCAATTGAACAAAGAGGAGGAGGAGGAAATGTTTGGAAATTTTTTATATTAAAGAAAATTTTTAATTTTTAGCTAAGAATTTCAAAAAATCCAAATATTCTTCAATCATTTTCTGACAGTGAAGAGGAAGGGGTATTTGAAGTAAATAAAAAACAAAGAAATGAAGGCCCAGCAAGATGTCATCAATTAGAAGAACTTTTTAGAAAAAATAATAAAAAAGGGCCGAATAATAAAGTAATTAGGGGAAATGGAAAAAATAAAAAAATATCTTGGAATGAATAAAATGTTTTTCTTGTTTATTTTTAAAGTATAGTATTTTAATAAAAAAATAAAGTACATATATTAATTTGATTAAGATGGGGGATAAAGTTCTAGAGGACAACAAAAACTAATCATAAAATTAATTTATCAAATTAATTAATTACACACTTTATTTAAATTTAAAGAATATTTAATTTTAATCAAAATTTTATTTAACCAAAATAAATTATTTTCTTTTTCACAACTATCTTATAAAAATATTTCTTCATTCATTTCCTTCTCAATATGGCCAAGATCCATAAGGGTATGGATAAAGAGACGATGGCGGTTCTGAACTAGCCCTTTTGTCCTTCACAATTCGGTCATCATCTATTTTTCTACCTTCAATTTGAATGTCCCCATCAGTTGAAGAATTTATGGTAGTCGACTTGTTACTGATTTCTTTAAAGAATTTTTTATTTAAATTTTGGATATTTTTAATTAAAAATAAAAAAAAATAAAATTAATCCTCTTTAATTCCCCTAAATCTTTCTATACACCTTTCTAGTTCATTAAATATATATTTAATTTTAAATAAAAATTTCTTACCAATTTCTTGAGGCATTTAAATATTTTTAAAGAATTTTGTTAAATTAATAATATAAAAAATATTTATCTAAAAAATTAAATTAAAAAAGATAAGCAAAAAATAACCAAATTTATTAACAAATATTTACTTAAATAAATTGCATCTTTGCATTCATTCTGCAAAAATAACTTCCTTTTTTATAAAAGTAAATATGTTGATGTATAGAATTTTTATTTATACAAAAAAACACAAAGTATGAGCTAAATCAGCAATGTTAAATAAAGAAAAAAATTTAAATTTAGAAAAATGTTAAAAACAAAAATATAAAAAGTGTATAAATTAAGAAAAAAGATCTTTTTAAATGTCTGGGTGGTGATATAAAATGGTAATTTAACATTTTTAATTTATAAATTTTAAAAATTTAGAACTTTAAAAAATTATTTTGATGTATTAATAAATATAAACAAAATATTTTTTACAACCATTATAAAATGTACATATATTTGGAGTAAATTTTGGATAAGATAATTTTGTTTTCTTTAAATTAAAAAAAATTTCCTAAATATTTTATTTTAAAATAATTATAAAATTATTCTTTTCCTTCATTAATTTCTAGAGAACAACAAAAAATAATTATAGATTAATTTATTTAAATTAAAAAAATATTTTTTAATCAAAATTATAATTTCGTCAAATTAAAATTATTTTTTACAACCATCTTATAAAAATATTTTTTCGTTCATTTCCTTCTCAATATGGCCAAGATCCATAAGGGTATGGATAAATAGGTGTCGGTTCTGTGTTAGTCTTTTTATCCATCACAATTTGTTTACCTTCAATTTTTTCACTTTGAATACCCCCAGCATTTGAAGAATTTATGTTAGTCGACTTGTTAGTGATTTCTTTAAAATAAAAACAAATTTTTAAAATTTTTTCTAAGAAAACTTTTAAAAAAAATTTATTACCAATTTCAGTTGAAGGCATTTAAATATTTTTAGTTAATAAAATAATAAAAATAATATTTATCTAAAAAATACTTTAAATTTAAAATAAATAAATAATCTATGTATTTATAATGAATTATTTTATCTATATTTATCTATATTTAAATAAAATCTTTGTAGTCATTTAGCGAAAATTATTTCCTTTTTTTTTCATCTCATGCTCACAATAATCAATCAAAAATAACAAAAATATATTTTATAGTTTTATCATTAAAAAATTAAAAATTATGTTGATATTTAAAATTAAAGAAAATAATAATTGTTAATGTAATTAAAATAAACATAGTTATAGGGAATTTTTAAAATTAAAGTATTTTCTCTTCACAACAATTATAAAATGATATTGAAAATTTTGGATAAAACACCAACTTGATTTTAATATAATTTAAAAATTATTTTAAAATATTTATTAAATTAATAATTATTCTTGATCATCATTTTTACAAACGGGTGTATATTTAAAATATGTATAGTGATTAAAAGACTAAAGGAGGTCCAAAGTACGTTATTTAATTAAAATAAAGAATTAAATTAAATATTTTATTATTTTGATTAAAATAAAGGAAAAATAAAAATAATTAAATAAGTAGTATATCTTTAAAAATGTCTGAACAAAACCTTAAATTTTAAATTTTGAAATTAAATTGTGACCTCGATAATGAGTTGTTAATTTAAAAAAGTAACTGATTGGAAAAATCAGTTACTTTTTTTACACTCATTTTTCAAAAAAAATTACTGGCACGGTTTATACGTCTCCATTGTGTCAAGACAATAATATCTCAGCAAATTCAATTACATAACGTGATTGACGAGGATAATGGAAGTATTTTGAAACTTGGAAAGAAATGCACAATTCCTAAACCAGGTTAGGAATTAATTGGACATGTAAAGGTTGAGTGGACGTATAAACTGGACAAGAGGCAAATCACCTTCAGATGAAAATTAATAATTTATTTATTTTATTTTCAATAAAATACCTACAAACATTTGTGTAAATATAAACATAACTATAATTGATTAATTATTTCCCTATATATTTGGATTGCGTACAAAACGATAACATTCCTGACACAACAAGGAACGTCCCTTCTTTTTTTTGCTTTTTCTATAATATATTTTGTAAAATTCATCCAAAAGGTAAATTGCTTAATTAATTAAATCTTATTAATTCTAAATGATTAAAAATATTTTGACTGTTACGAGAAAACTGTCACAACAAAATTATTTTTTTATTTGGAATAATATAAAATTATGTCAATCATCATTATTCTATTTTCAAAGGAATTATCATTCATTGAACAATGAAGAGTTCTTTAAAAAGTTTTTTTGTATTGGGAAAGAAGTAAAAAATGCTTTATTTGAGGGAAAGCCAATTGTAGCTTTGGAAAGTGCTTTAATTACTAATGGATTAGAATATCCTATTAATCTTAAGTTTGTTTTTTGAAAGGGGTTTTCTAATAATCAAGACTATAACTAATCTAAAAATAATCTAGTTCCTAATTCCGTGAATTATTAAAATTTGAATATATTTTGCAGAGTTGCACTTAAACTGCAGGAAATTATTCGTAATAATGGTGCAGTCCCTGCCACAATTACAATACTTGATGGAAAAATAAGAGTTGGAATTGAAAATAAAGAATTGGAAAGAATTGCCGAACCGAATAATCAAAAATGTTCTTTAAGAGATTTGGCAAATTTCCTCGTCCAGAAGGTGAAAATGATTAAAATGTTTTTTCTCATATAGAATTTCCAACATCTAGAAGATTGGTGGCACAACAGTTGCCGCAACAATGTGGATTGCACATCAAGCTGGGATCAAAGTTTTTAGTACTGGGGGAATTGGTGGAGTACATAAAGGAGGGGAAAAATGTAAGGGAAAAATATATTCTCAAAGTTCCTTTTTTAAAGCATTAGACATAAGTGCTGATTTGGTAGAGCTAGGTCGGTGTCCTATAGCTATTGTCTGTGCCGGTGTTAAATCTATTTTAGACATTGGTAGAACATTAGAATTCTTAGTTTGTTTTCTGAGTTATAATTTTTTTTAAATCCAAATTTAAATAGGAAACACAAGGTGTAAATGTTCTTGTTTTCGACAAAAAACCAAACTTTCCCGGCTTTTTCATACCTCAAACAGAGTTTCTGGCACCACATTGCACTGACTCAATAGAAGAAATATCTGACATAATTGGTTAAAAACATAATTATTTTTTTATAATTTTTTTATAAAAAGTTTGTTCTCAACAATTGGGTCTACAAAAAGGTATTTTGATTGCCTGTCCAATCCCTGTTGAAGATAAATCCAAATCAGAATTAGTTCAGCATTCTATTAATCAAGCATTAAATGAAGCTAATTCAAAAAATATTTTTGGAAATAAAGTAACTCCATTTGTACTTAAAAGAGTTGCTGAATTGAGTGAGGGAGAAAGTTTAAGGCTTAGTAAGTTAATAATAATAAAAATATTTTTTACATAAAATTATTTTTAGATATTTCTTTATTAGAAAATAATGCAAGAATAGCTGCCCAATTAGCTAATTTATATACAAATAAAATTATAAATACCCCTACAACGATGGAAGATGATAAAAGTATATTTGTTACCTCTCAAATAAAAAATACAAAAAATGAGAAACCTTTAGTTGTGAGTAGTAAATATATAATTAATTAATTTAAAATTTAAAAAATTTTTTACAAGTTTTGTATTGGTGCTTCTATTGTTGATTTAGAAGTATTACAAAAAGAAAATTCTAAAAATTCTCCAAAAGTTGATATTTCCTCTTATTTACCTTCAAATATTGTACAAAGAGCAGGAGGGGTTGCTCGCAATCATGCAGAGGCTCTTGCTCGTTTAGGAATTGATGTTCTTTTATTTTCTGCTTTTGGCACAGATTTAAATGGAAGGAATGACTTTGGAGCTAATTTTCTTTTAGAAAAATTGGAGGGATTAAAAAACTTGGTTTTTTAAAAAATAATTTAAATAAATTAATTTAATTAAAAAAAGGATTTCTCTCATTCATTATTTTGTAAATATTTGGGGACAGCTACTTCTATTTCAATTAGCAAATCTTCTAAAGTAAAATTTTGATATCTGAAGATTATTTTAATATTTAGGGAATTATACAAGGATTTATTTCTGCAGACGAACTTCTAAGCAAAATAAATTCTGAATATGTAAATATAATTTATATTTATTAAAATAAAATTTTCAGACTCCCTCGGATAATTAATTTCATTTAAATAATTTTGCAATATTAGGGTTGTCCGTTTCAAGCCGAACCAAAGATTTCCGGTTTGCTTTGTCGGTTCGATTTCTGTTAACCGAAGAATTTGGTGAAATTGACAACCCTATTCGATATCCTCCTTTTCCTCCTTCAAGTTCTCTATAATTTATACCTAAGGTATTTTTGCGTTGTCGCCAAAACAAAATTTTTAAATGCTTAGCTTTATTTAAGAACTCAAAAAGGCGAGAACCCGCAAAAAAGCGAAATCGGCACACCTCTGTCTTTAAAAATTTAATTTTTAGATTGATAAAATTTCCAACTTATTTAAATCTGCCGATTTTCTTTTAATTGATGCCAATTTAACCTCTGAAGCTATTAAAAGAATTAATTATTGGGCAAACAAGACAAATACAAAAAGTTAATTAATAATTGAATTATATTTAAAAAAAATTTTTCTTAAAGTTTGGCTAGAACCAACAAATTCTTTAAAAATATCTAAAATATTTGATGCTTTGGGAGATTGGCCATTAACCAAAATAGACGTTTTCTCTCCAAATTTAGGTGAATTACGCTCATTTTCTGAGAATTTTAGTCAAAGAGTTGGAAAAAGTGAGGCAAAAGAATGCAAGGAATTTATTAAAAATATAGAGGGTATGAAATTAATTTTTTTCAGATATTTAATGCTCATTAATAATATTAAGAGATCCCCACTCTTGGGACTAAAAAATTGTATAAGGTTCTCGGGTATTGCATAGGATTCCCCACTCATTCAGTAGCCATATACGAAAATTTATGTGAATATATCTTGAGATAAACTATAAGGAAGTCCCCAACTACATGTATCCAACTAAGAGGCCCCCCTTCCAACTACATAAATATATCCAACTAAATCAAAATTTCTAAATTATCTAGAAAGGACTTTAATTAATTTTTTCATTTTGGGACTTCATTTTAATAATTAGAAAAAATTATTATTATTTAATAATTTCCCTATTTTTATTTAGAACATCTCCTAAATTCAACAATTGACTCCAACTTCCATCAAAAAATTTCCAATATAAAATTACCCCAAGCATTTCAACCAAAACAACATTTACTAATTACTTGTGATCGTTTTGGTGTTTTACTTTTTTCCCGTTCAAATAATAATGAATTTAAAATTGAATATTCGGATGCTCCAAAAATCTGTTCAGAAAAATTAATTTCAGTGTCCGGTGCTGGAGATTGGTAAAAAGAAAAGAAAATTATTTTTAAAATAATTTTTTTTAAATTTATTTTAGCTTTAATAGTGGATTTCTTTTTGGAATTTTAAATAATTTAAATTTAAAAGAATGTCTTGAATTTGGTAGAAAATGTGCTGAATTAAGCCTGATTAGTATAGATACTGTGCCAGAAACAATTAATAAAGATATATTTAAAGTATAAAATATTTAATTTATATTAATAAATTTATAATAATAAACAAAAAATGTCCCCTTCCTTTCCAGCATTCAGATTTCTGATGAAAAGTAAAGTTAACAAAATAATCCGAGTTTCCGAACTTCTCCCCAAATTTTAACTTTATTTTTGACAACTCTGATTAACGTTGGATTCAGAATTTCTAACACAACTTATTTTAAATATTTTAAACGATTTATTTAATTTAAACGTTAATCATAAGATTCCCTAAATAAGAAAAATCGTTAAACATTATGATTTATTAATCAATGTATCTTATATATATCTTATATATGTCTTATATACATATGTATTGCTTATAATTGCCCTTTACACACGCAAGCGCCTCGCCTTCATTTTACATTAAATTTTAAAAATTAAAAAAAATTTTTTTTAATTTAAATTAAAAAAATGTTTTAAAATTTTTTAATATTCATTCAAAAACAATTTAAATGTTGTTTAAAACTATTATTTTAAGTCTTTTATTATTTAATTTAAAAAATTATTGTTTAGGAGGTAATTGTTATTTATCATTACTTTGAATAAAAATTTAATTATTAGATAGAAACAATTCAAGCGATAAGAAAAAATCCGATAATATACAGCCGGCAATTTGTGGAGTTCCTCCTTATGGCGGGAAAAAAGAATTTTTGCCCGATGCCCAATTATTCAGTAACAATTTATTGAAAATTGAGGATTCCGAGTTATTTGATATTTTTGTCCCTCTTATAAACTTACAAAGAAGGACAATACTCGGAGATTTTTGTGAAAGAATTTTGGGAATTTATGATAAAGAAAATTATTTTCAAAATTGCTTAGATAAATTATTTCCTATAAAATCAGAAGAAGAAGAAACTGAAAAGGATAAGAAAATTTATCTTCCTTTACTATTTAGAGCGTAATAAAAGAAATAAAACTCTCTTCTTTTCTCAATCAATTTAAGACACAAATACGAAATAAAATACTTTTACTTTTCTTTTCAAACAAAATAAATACATAAAGACGAATGAGTGGGAAATTGGGGTTTACAATAAATAAGGGGAGAGAATAATTAGATGGGGTCAAAATATGAGGAGAGAACGAAAGAAAAACGTGTGCTATTTCTTTTCAGCATCACATCCCGCTCGCTTCAGATGACGGCGTCCTCGACGTCAGAATAAGATCTTCTAGTTCGGTCTGTTTTCGCGAAAGGTCTTGGGTGGCGAGGTAGTTCTTTTCTTTTGTTGCTCTTGGGGATTCTCAGTGTCAAAGTGATCATAGGGTTCTCGAGGCCGACTCGATTTAAGGAACCCGATCTTCGATGAAAAGTTTCCATTAGGACTCCAATGGTGAGAATTTCGGTCACCGAAACCGATTCTACCAGTCCTTTTCCTTCCTTCCTTTTCCTTTTCTTCCAATCTTTTTCAATTTCAACACCTTTTGAGTCGCGAATTACGTCTTGTTTTGTCACCGAGACAAGATACAAGACTTTCACCGGCTTTGATTCAAGCATTCTTCGGTTTATCTCCTTCAGAAAATTCCTAGAAAGTTCAGAGACTCTGATCAACGTGATCAGTTTTTCAACGTTCAGACACCTCCGAACTCCGAGAAAAAATCGTCCCGTGATTTTTCTTTTCAAAATTCCATATCCAAAATCTTCTCCAAAATTATTCCATAAAATTTCTTTTCCTGCAAGATCACATCGAAGCCTTGCCAAAATTATTGCTTCCCTCAATTTTAACCTTAACATCTTTCTTTTTTCAACAATATTTTCATTTTCTTTCAAAACTTTAAATTTGTCTCGTGTTGGTTGGATTTCCTTTTCAGGGTCCTTCTCAAACACATCCAATTTATATTCCAAAATTCCTTGCTCATCACCTTTTTCTTCCAAAATCTTTTTCAAATCACCACTATATTCATCAATTTCCTTCAAGCCAAAACAATCCTCGTTTTCTTTCTCTTCCAAATCATAACGATAATCATCTTCTTCTCCTATCACTTCCAAATCATCACACTCTCCACTTACTTTCTCTTCCAGTTCAACAAATTCTTCTTCTCCTTCTTCCATTATCAATTCTTTTTCTCCAAAACATACAATTTCTTCCTTAACTTCTTCATGGTAAACAGGAATATCCAGTGGAACAATTTCTTGAAAAACCTGGATTTCTGTCCGAATAGGAAATTCAAAAGATGCCGAATCCTGTTTTCCGTCTAAGGAGCATATAAGTTCCTCATCTAGTTCACAAAATTGTTTTTTTCCGAAATCTTCCAAAGATTCAACATTTAATTCTTTCTCATCCGTCACATCCTTTTCAAAAATCACAAAATCTTCCGATGACTCACTAATTAAAGGACGAACATCTAACTCTTTTTCAACAATTGGTTCGAAATTTTCTAAAAAATTTTCTTCCAAATCTTCCAATTTACTTTCGTTTTTGGCCAAATCTTGATTGATTGGCATTTCAAAAAATTCCAAAATTTCTTGTGAAAATTCTTCTTTTTCAAATTGAATGTTGACCTTATTTTTGAAAGATGGCGTGGGAATGCTTTGCTGTTTGTGACTTTTCTCATGTTCTTTCAAATTTTTCTTTTTCTGAGGGGAATTGGTTCGGAAAGAACAACCAAGAGAACTTTGGTTTTCCCCAAAATTTTTCTTTTGTTGAGGGGAATGAGTTTGCTTTTTAACTGAATCGATTGACTCGTCGACTTTGTACTCTGATGGCAGGAGCTGACAAAGGATGAATTTCTTAATCGATTTATAGTTGTAGTGCTTGGCCTTGATTGCAAGAATGAAGAAACTCTTTGCCTTGCCATACAGCTTGGATTTTAGAGCAAAAATTTTCTTCTTCTCTGACCAGTCTTGTAAAGCTAGGTCAAATTTCTTGAAAAATCTTCTTATCTCGAAATTTCCTTCGGTTCCATCTAAATCCGGAATCGTTTCCAAAAGTAATTTTTCGATGTCAGCTTGTGACGCAGTTTCGGAAAGAAAATTAGCATTTTGTTCAATTAGATAAGTCGATTGTGGAGCGATGAAAGAGGGAGGATGGTATATCATTTGTTGAGGAAGGGCACAGTTTGGATAATGAAGCAAATTTGGGAAGCCATAGAATTGGTTATAAGGATGCCCTGATTGTGTATTGATGGAAATATTCATTTGAGTTTGATGGTGAAGAAAATATTGATTCATATTTTGAGGTGTATTTTCCATTCTTTTGCTGTTTTCCAAACCAAATTCAAATTTTATCCACCGAGGCTAAAATTTGACACGTAGAAAATTCAATCAACCCGTCGAGGGAAAACTGAATAAGATTTCTTTTGTAAAAAAAATCTCAAAAAAAAGTTGTCAATCCGAAAACTTATCCCACCGAGGAATAACTTTCAAACAAATTTTGTTGTTGGTCTATCCAGAGACCAGAGTTTCCAATCAAATCCAATAAATTTGGTCCACCGAGGGCCAATTGAAGAACAAAAAATAAAAAGTCAATTCGTAAAATAAATTCTTCTTCTTTCACACAAAGAACAACCTCTTCCTCAGGAGCGCCACGTAATAAAAGAAATAAAACTCTCTTCTTTTCTCAATCAATTTAAGACACAAATACGAAATAAAATACTTTTACTTTTCTTTTCAAACAAAATAAATACATAAAGACGAATGAGTGGGAAATTGGGGTTTACAATAAATAAGGGGAGAGAATAATTAGATGGGGTCAAAATATGAGGAGAGAACGAAAGAAAAAACGTGTGCTATTTCTTTTCAGCATCACAAGAGAATTATTTGTTGCAATGTTTGAATCGCCACCATTACTAGAAGCGATTTACTTAAATCGGTCAGCAATAAGTAGAAACCGGGCCGAGACGAGATCTCGATTCTCATACAATACTCCCAGTCCGGTCTCTAGTAATAATACATATCACTGTCCAAACTACATTTTAGGACAAATAGTATTTAGCCGGCAAAATCACATTCATTTATAGAATCGGAGTAGGGTTCCGTAACAGTTCTTCATGTCCAGAACCTACACTCACTTGGTCTGGGACCGTTAGTTACCATATTTCTCGAAATTAACGGTCCCAAACCATATGAGCGTAGGTCATATGGTTCACCGATCTCCAACTGTTAACTCTAGAAAAATTAAATTCGCTAAAATGTAATTTTTGGATTAAAATGTAATTTTATCGGTCAGCAATAAGTAGAAAACTGACCGAGACAAGATTTCGATAGAAAATTACATATATCACAATTATTTTAGACAAATAATTAAAGCAAGAGAGAGTAAAGAGTATATTGATATGGATACAATTTTTGAAGTAATTCTAACAAATTCAAAAAAGTTATTTGATGAAATTTGTCAAATATACATAAAATATTTTGGAAAAGATTTATTAGAGGAAATTAAAGAAATGACTAAAAAAGAGACTTTAAAAATATATTTTCTGAAGAATAAAAAGTCTGTTAAATTAATTGCGACGAAAGATTTGAAAACATTTTTATATAAAATTACAGAAAATTTGAGAGGAGATAAAGAACCGATTGATGTGCTTAAGGAGGTTTGTAGATTTGTTTTTTCTAAAGGAACAAAGGACGGTTGGGACAGGAGACATGAAATAAAGGAAGGGTCTGGAAGGTTTTGAGTACTCAAATTTCTTCTCCTCCTTAAGAGGGGGATTCCGATTTTTATTACAAAAATTTTATTTAAATCTTCTAAATTAAGATAAGCCAGCAATTTTATGCTGCAAATAAAAAATCAAAAAGTTTCTTTAATCGTTTCTTCGGTAAAAATAAAACCGATCAGATCAATTTATTGTTAAATAATATAATGGAAATTATTGGGTTAAAATCACAAAACTTTGACAAAACACAAAATAATTCAATTCACCCAATTGTTAAACAAACGGAGAATATCACACAAATAGAAATTGAAGGAATACAACGCCATTTTAGTGAAAGAATTTTTTCTGCAATAGAGCGTAAAGGTAAAAATCACGATAATGTATTTTTGAAGTAACTGGGGCTTATCCATCTTTATTGTGATCTCCTTTAAGTAGAGTCGATTATTTTTGTCCTTTTTCAAAGAAATTCATGATTTAAACAAAGGTTGGACACAAAAAGTTGACCGGACCGAAAAATGCCAAAAACTAGGGGTCGAAAACCGGCATACTTGAAAACAGGAACGAACTCTAATTTACAAATATCGAAAACCAACTCTAATTTATATCTTAAAATAAGTAAGTACGGCTTTATAACTTAAGGCATTTTCAATGTAAATATTTCTGAAAGCCTTGTTTAAAGGAATATTTATTAGAAATGTTATAGAGAATTTTAAAAAATTAATTATAGAATTTAATTTAAATAAAATTCCAGATTATTACGAATTAAATCGTTTATTAATTTCGCGTTCAGAAAAGGATTTGGCAAGTATTTCAAAGAATTTTTTAACGTTTTAAAATTATTAAACAAAATTTAAACAAAATAAAAGATAAATTATATGCTAATTCAATCGGAAAATTGCTTTATATCCCAAGTTATGTTGAAAACAAAAAATTAAACAGAAAAGAGGAAGAGGAACTTATTAAATCAAATAAATGGCATGAAAATATTTGTAAAATTAAAATGAAAGAAATATTTAAAAATTATTTAGAAAAATTTCAACTCGAAAATTTAAAAATAAAAATTGATAATTTTCTTAAAATGTATAGAATTAAATTTATTGAGGAAAATGTGGGGGATATAAAGGGAAAGTCGGATAAAAAAGAATTTCCTTCAGAAAAATGTGAAAATTATATTTATGAATTTAAAATTGGCACACTTTTTGTTTATAAAGAACAACATAAACTAGCTATTGAATGTTCAATTCAGTTAATGAATTATATTTACAATGAAGTGCAAAAATATTGCGGAGAAAATTTTCTTTATTTAGATAACCATAAGAATTTTAATTCGGAAACTTGTGAAAAAGCTAGAAATTTATTTGAAGCAAAAAAGGATTATGAAATGAAAAAAATTGAAGAAGAAGAGAAAATGAGAGAAGAAGAAGAGAAAATGAAAGAAGAAGAAGAGAAAATGAAAGAGGAAGAGGAGAAGAATAAAATGGAATAGAAGAATTTGTAGTTGGAAGAAGATATTATGTATAAAACAATGAGAATGTGTTAAATTTTCTAGTAATTTTTTATTAAAGACCATGTTAATATTTGAAGCAATTTGAATTAGAAAAAAACAATTTTTAACCTTCATTATTCTTCGTTATATAATTTTTTCAATGTACATATTTATGTAAATAATTTTTGTATATAATTTTTCTTATAAATCATTCCAAATTTATTTTGTAGTTTTAATTCAGAGAATTATTAGCGGTTTTTAAATTGATTGTAATTAAATATTATGGTGCTTAAAACTTTGTGATCGATCTCTAAAAACCTCTAAAAACGCATAAAGATTTTTTGATAATTTAAATGGGAAATTTCGAAATAAATCATTTCTCTCTCCCTCAATTTAGTTAAACTTTCTATTAATTTTTTCTTTTCCTAATTTGCGAATAAATAGAAAATTTTATCCCTTTAAAGAAGCGAACTTATTTTATTTATTAAAGCGAATGAACAACAGGAATGCTAAAAACTATAGGTCGATAGTTTCATAATAAAAATTTCATTGGGGAGAAATTGTAACAAAAAATAGTTAAAAATAAATATTTTTATTCTTTAACAATGCTTTGGGAAAACTTTTAGAAAATTCGCTTTTAATTTAAAAACTTCTCTATCAAAATATAAATCTTTATAAGGATTTGTTTATATTTTTTTAAAATATTTTTAGAATTTTATTATTAATTTTGATTAATGACTAATAAAAATTTTGATACAAAAGGAGCAGAATATGTTAATAAAAATATGCCAATGATTGGATTAGGTAGAGAAAATTAATTTAAAAATAATTAAATATATTTATTAGGTACTTATCAAATAAATTCTGAAAAAATAATTTTTGAAGTTTTGGATTCTGCTTTAGATGTTGGTTATAGATTAATAGATACAGCACAAATATATAAAAATGAAAAATATATTGGTAAAGCTCTTCAAGAATTAATGCCTAAATATAAAATTAAAAGGTTAGAGAATAAATAAATTCTTAAAAATTTTATAATTTTTAGAAAAAATTAAAAAAATATATTTCATATTAAAAAGGAAGTTAGCTTTTTGAACCTAAGAAAACTTTCCTTCTTTAACCTATTTTGACAATTAAAATTATTAAGTTAATAAAGGGTCCATCCCAGAAAATAGCAAAAGTTTTAATGGCTTTATTACTTCAACAGCCTTACGAGCATTAAAAAAGCTAAAAAAAGGAAATAAAATTTTAAATAAATCCAAATTTTACAGAGAGGATTTATTTATAACAACAAAACTGTCACCAAGTAACCAAGGAATCAAAAATTGTCGTCAATCTGTGTTAGACTCGTTAGAAAAATTACAAATTGAATATCTAGATTTGTTGCTTATTCACTGGCCTGGGACTTCTAAATTGAGAAAAAATGATCCTAAAAATTCCTATTTGAGAGCAGAAAGTTGGAAAGAAATGGAGAAATTACAGAGTATTAAAAATTAAATTAAAAATAATTTTTTCCAAATTTTAGAAGAAGGCTTAATTCGCGCTATCGGTGTTTCCAATTATAACGTTAACCATTTAGAGGAATTACTGGTAAAAGCAGAAATATTACCAGCTGTAAATATAAAATAAAATATTTTAATTTATATTAAAAAATAGGTAAATCAATGTGAATGTCATCCACACTGGTACCAGCCAGATTTAATTGAATTTTGTTGTCGAAATGGAATACATTTTCAGGTATAAGCTGGCCTGGGGTTATTTGACTAGCTTAGATTTGTTTTTAAATAACAGTTAACAATGAAACCTAAACTCAAAATAAGTACAGTTATAATTCAATAAAAAACAAGTAGAGTTCAGGACATTGTTAAGCATTTAATTCCTAAGGCTGTGCAGTAAGCGGCGTGGTGTAACTGTTAATACATCAGTCCGGTCTACTGAAGATGCTGGTACAGTCCCAGCCGCTGAATAACCTTTTGCACTAGCTGAAAGGAGAAAAATAGCTATGCCCTAGCTCTGCTTTACTACATGGAATAATCCAGATAACGCTCTAGCTTTCCTTGCAAATTTTAGAACTTTTCCTCACCCATTTAAACCTCCAAACAAACTTTTTACATTTTTAGGCCTACAGCAGTTTTGGAAGTCAATCAAACCATCAAGATTTATTTTCCGATGAAAAAATTATGAGAATGGCAAACAAATATAATTGTAAAGTACAAGATTTTCTTCTAGGTTGGGCGTTAACACAAGGAATGAGTGTACTCCCTCGAAGTAAAAACCCAGAACATGTCCGTGCAAACTTTATAGGAGCTAATAATATAAAAGTAAATATTGAAGATGTCGAAGCAGTTAGATTGAAACCTGACGAAAAAATAAAATATTGTTGGGACCCAGAAGGATTAAAATAAGAAGAATCGGAGTAGAAAAAATTTTAATTTGCAAAATTTTTGTTTTAGATTATTTTTTGTTCTATTTATTTTATTTTCAAAGATTCAAACATTTATCATTTAATAAAATTTTTAAAAATTGATTTTCATAACATTTTATATCATTAAATTATTTTCTTTAAAAAGTGGATCGGACAAATCCAACAAATAATTTTTTGTAAAGACAAGAATTTGTAAAATCTCAAAAATAAAAATTTGACATCTGGCAAACATGGCTTATGGTTATCCAAAAGTAATATATGGGGCATTGTCCAATCCACGGGGCAGTCAAAAAAATTCTAAAACAATTTCAGTTTTAAATATTTCTAATTTTTAAAAAATTTATTCAGACATTCTCATAACATTTTTCAACAATTAAATGAGTTTTCTGTCTAAAATTAACAACTCTCATAAACATTTAAAGAAGGCTAACAATAATTTAAACAGATTTTTTTAAAGAATAAAGTGAAATAAATAAAAGCTTTAAGGAGTATTGTCAAAAACAAAGAAGAACATCGCTTTAAAAAATAAAACAAAAAGTTCTTTCAACAATAAATTAAAGATTCAAAAAAATAAAAAATTTCAATTTAAGTATTTTTAAAATTATAAAAAAAATTTTTTTTTAATAAATTATATTTGAATAACCTTTCTTTAATTTTTTACCAGTCATCATTTTCTGGATCACCTTCCGGCACTGGAGGAAGCGTCTCTTCATCAAGCTTTTCAGTCGCGGCAGGTTTCTCTTCTTCATCCTTCTTGTCATTTTTCTCTTCATTCTCATCTTTCTTCTCTGGAAGATCATTATTCTCCTTTTCATCCTTCTTTTCTTCGGCCTCATTATTATTATTAGCAGCAAAACTATCACCGCCTTCACCATCACCAAAACCTCCCGTTTGATTTCCACCTCCAAAAGAAGAACCACCAAACGGTACCCCACTGTTCCAACTCGGGGTAGTCTCTTCTGGAGGCAATTTTCCCTCAGATGCTTGAACGAGCCATTCCGGAGGTTCTTGGCCAACAGTTTGAACACCCTAAAATTCTTGAATTTATTGAATAATTTGTAAAATTTCAAACCTGCACAAGCTCCTTAGCCAAATCCATGTCATCAAGTGGGTCAAAGAATGAAGTAGAAATGCCTTCTTTTAAACGTCCCGTACGACCGATGCGATGGACATAGATTACATATTCTGTTGGCAAGTCAAGGTTGATAACCTGAAACAAAAAATTAATAAAGCGTTTAGAAATATTGTAGTTAACTAAAACTTAACAACAAAACCCAATAAGTCAAATAAGAAAGCATTTAGATGAGTATGAATCTAAGAGTTCTATCCCCAACCTTCTGACAAGAACAGTTATATGCACAAATTCTAAATTTTCATCCTCCTACATATACATTTTTCTCATCATTATCCTAACTAAAATTCCCTATTCCCCAACAAATGCTATACATGGTCAAGGCCTTTAATGTCAATTCCTCTTGAGCAAACATCAGTTGTTACAACAATATTGTGTTTTCCATCCCTAAATTCATTCAATGATTGTTCTCGCAACTTTTGTGGCCGATCTCTAAAATTATTTACAAAATAGAAAAATTTAATAATTATAAAGTTTACCCATTGATAGTAGTTGATTTGAGACCATTAACATTAAGGAATGTCGAGACAACGTCAGCCGTGCGTTTCATTTTTACAAAAACCATAGTTCGTTTTTTGTTCGGATTGTCAGCTGCAAAATTAAATTTTAAAGAGGAAATTTAAAGAGAAAATTTATTAAGGGCACAGAATAAAATTATTTGGTAGCATTTAAGAAGGGACAACCAAACAAATTTTCATCCAAAACTTTGTTTAAGGAAGTCCCATTATTAGGAAAAATAATAAAATTTACGATTTTCTTTTTTGGCATCTTCCTCCTCTTGTTTGAGCAATTTCAAAAGTTCATTGTTCTTTTCACCACGCAAAACTTTCATAAACTTTTGAATAATACGCGGATTAGCATCAACCAATTTACGATTTGAAACCATCACATTTTCCTTTTTGAGCCACTCACTCGCCCACACTTGAACTTCCGGTGGAAAAGTGGCACTAAAAAGCAGAGTTTGGCGGTCCTCATTCTGAAAAACAAAAAAATATTTATATTTTTCCAATAAAAAACCTTCGGCCATCCGTTCACTTTAGTTAAACGACGCAGATCACGTGCAAAACTGTCCTCAAGTAATTGGTCAGCCTCATCCAAAACCAAAATTTTCATTAATTCAAAGTCAAGCTTAAATTTTAAAAAAAATTATAAAAATAAAAGAAATAAATTACAAATTCATTCATAAAAAAGTCGGTAAGACGGCCAGGAGTCCCGACAAGAATATCACAACCACTAGTTGAAATATGCTTCAAATTTTCTTTATGCTTGAACATTCCATAAGCTTTAGCAACAGAAACACCAGTATCTTAAAAAGAGAAATTAATATGTGATCAAAATATTGGATTGTAGGAATTTTAAGTTCTTGGGAAAATAATGTAAATTGATATGGCTCTTATTGTTAAATGTAAACAAAAGAATCCAAATAAAAGGTAAGCTTATCCCAAACAAAAAAAGCCAATTAATTTTATAAATTTATTCAAAAAATACATAAGTTACCATCAGCCAATTTTCTTGCTTGATCGTATAGTTGAATAGCCAATTCACGTGTTGGTTCAATTATAAGCGCATACGGGCAAACTCGTTTCGACTTAAATTCCTCCTTCTTCTTTAACACCATAATTTTATTGATAATGGGCAACAAAAATGCTGCGCTCTTTCCACTTCCAGATTCAGCATGGCCTTTGACATCGTGTCCTATAATTTGAAAAGTATAAATTCCAATTAAGAAAATTCAAACCATCCATAATCAAAGGAATGGCAAGAGATTGAATTTTTCGCAAACGAATGTATTGAGCCTTTTCAATATTTTCTTTCAGTTTTGGTTCAAAGTTGGCTTCACCCCAATCACTAGAAAGAAAAAATTTAAAGGTAAAAAGAAAGTTAAAACAAACTCGAGAACTTGAGTTGCAGATTCAAGCCCAGTAACAACGCATTCTTCATCCTCTTCACAAATATTTTTATACTGTTCAGCAGCCTTAATATCCTCAGCACGAATATCTTCAATTGTGCGGTCAACTGGGACATGAGGAGTATCGCGAGCACGTTCTTCTTCAGCTATAAAAAAAGGTTTAAAAACATGTAAATTTAGGGACAAATTAAAGACAAACATCCTAAAAATCATTAAAAAATTTTCCCATTTTCAGGGGGAGGCTATAGCCCCAGAAGCCACCCCTGGCTACCTAAGCCCTTGATGGAAATAAAGTAAAGTTGAGGACCAATTTAAGTCTAACCATTCTTAATAATGAAAGGAAAAAGGAGGGGTAAACTAAATTCCCTTTTACCCAAAAAAACTAACAAGCATAAGGTCGAAAAGTTGTTTGTCCACCATTGTCCTCAAAGCGGCGCCCTCCACCTGCAAATGATCCACGTGCGCCTCCACCATCACCAAATGTGCGTGCACCTCCACCCTCGCCAAACGTGCGTGATCCTCCACCATCGCCAAATGCACGTGAACCTCCACCATCCCCAAATGTGCGCCCACGTCCACCAAAACCGCGAGGCTTGTCTCCATCATTATTAGTGCTATCTGCATTATTTCCAGCCCCACCTCCAAAAGACGAACCATTTTCACCAAAACGAGGTCCTCCAGCACCACGGCCTCGGAATCCTGAACCTCTTCCACGTCCCCCTTCTCCCCCAGCATCCGTAGAGTTGTTGTCTTCGTTTGACTTAGAAGTCGCAAAGGCTAAAGATTAATTTAAAACACAATTAACATGAGACGAAAACCTCCTCTTCCACGTCCACCAAAACCTCCTCTTCCACGGGGATTATTATTTTCATTAGAGTCACTATTCGCAGGACGATCACCAAAATCGGTGCCATCAGCTCCCTCCGCTTGGCGGGAAGTGAATCCTCCTCTGCCATTTCCTCTCCCAAATGATCCGCGTCTTGGTCCAATTGTCTCCGGCTCTGTAGGCGAAACACGTTCAGACTTTGTATTAGAATCCTCTTTGTTATCATCAGTTTGTGCTTGACCTCCAAATGAGGAATGAGTTGTTCCACGTCCACGTCCTTTAAATTAGCAAGAAAATCAAATAATTTAAGGTACTTAAAAACCTCGGCCTCTTGGACCTGCAGGATTCAAAGGGGCGGTGTTTGCCCCAGTTGCGGCTCTCGAGCCAAAGGACCCAAAGGTCCGCCGATCATTTTGTTCCCTAGGCTCCTCTGAAATATTAACCATATTCAACTTTTTTTAATTTAACAAAGCTATAAAATAATGATTAATATTTTCTGAATAAATTTACAGGGAAAAAATAAACAAAAAATAAAAAGTACATCAATAAAAATAAGTAGATGAAAAAAGGTTTTTAAATCCAATAAGAACGCTGATATCCTCACCGTTAGATACATATCCATAAAAATCCCTTGATATCCCGGTAAAATTGAATTTCGTATACCCCCTCCTTTTTCTAACTTCAAAATGTTTAAAAATGTTCAGTCTGTTATCAGATTACAGAACTCGTCGAGCTGTGTCGAATGACACCAAAATCAACCCCCGGTCTTAACTTTGGGCCGAGATACAGACCCCCGAAAATTGAAAAATAACAGGGTGGACCAAGCTCATTTTTTGGTCTAAAAATTCGATTAAACAAATAATAGCTCATTCGAAAGAGCTTGTCGAGCTGATTCGAATGACATCAAAATCAACGTAATTGAAAAAGATTTGACAAAGTTATGACATAAAGTAATCCTTTTACGTTGGCGAAATGCTTGTGCAAAACCCTTACTTTGCGCAGGGTTTTTGTCTGTATCTCGGCCCAAAGTTAAGACCGGGGGTTGATTTTGGTGTCATTCGACACAGCTCGACGAGTTCTGTAATCTGATAACAGACTGAACATTTTTAAACATTTTGAAGTTAGAAAAAGGAGGGGGTATACGAAATTCAATTTTACCGATATCCCCCTTAATTCCTCGGCATCTCCTCAAATCTACCTTAATCCCACAGATCCGTCTTAATCTGCCAAATTCATCCCTATATTTAATTTACGTTTTGTCCCAAAAACCGCCGGATAAAAATTGATAAAAGTTTCGTGCATGTTTGGCGAGGACTCAAAAGGTCGGAGCAGGTCGTTTCAGTACGCACGTTTCAGTCCGGACGGTTTAGTGCCTCTTACAGTACTTCGGTTTAGTCCCAATGGTTAGATGAGGAATTAGGCGTGATTAAGAGAGTATTTGGAGATTAACATTTATTCTTTAATATTGACGGATTTGTGGAGAAATGAGGGATATACAGGAATTAGCAAGATTTTGCGGAGATATAGAGGGATCTGTGAGAAGTACTAGGGATTTGTGAGGATTAAGACGGATGTAAAGGATAAGAAGAATTAAGGCTTGGGTTGGAATTAGAGGTCGGCGTGGGACGGGATTTTGCGAGATCCCGTACTGCAATCCCGCACTTTTTTCGATTTGCGGGAGTGCGGGAGTGCTGGATTTATCACGCGGGATCCCGTCCCGCAAAGATTTTTAAAATATCCTGCAAACACGATTTTGTTGACTTCTAGTTGGAATTATAATCGGATCGGTTTCATATCCCCATAGTTTCAACAATATTTATTTATTTATTCTTTAATCGCTTCACTTTAATAAATTTCCAAAATTATTTTCCTTTAAAAACAATTTCACATTATTTTATTTTTAATTATTAATTAATATTATATGGTTGTGTTCTGTTTTGAAATATTCTAATAATATCCTCATCAACAGATCTATGCAATATTGACTGTTCTAAACAAACAATTCTCTGATTTGGAATTATTGTGTGATTTTCGCTATAAGCTACTTGTTCAATATTTGTTCCCCTCAAATATTTAATAAAATAAAAAATATAAATTGTCCCATTTCCATTTAAATTAACATATTGATCAAATTCCATAGGATAATTTTCATCATATTCCATTTCTCCAGGTTCATCTTCAAATTGTTGAGGTAAAGTTTGATTGATATGAGGTTGGTGGTCTTCTAATGGTTGTAGTTGATTGTATTGATTTCGATGGTAAAGAGTAAAATTAAAATAACCCATAATATTTTGTAAATAAACAAAACTTGGATTAATGTAATATAATGGATGATTTGGATTTGGATGGTTAAGTATTGAACGAGCATATTCAATTGCTTTATATGAATTATTAAATAATTGTTCACGAAGTTCTTCTAAAAATTATTTAAAAAACTAATGAATTTTGGAAGCATTTAAGTCATATCTTTTTAACTGGGAACATTAAAAAGTTGAGGAACCTATTTTCCCCCAAAATCCTCATCCATCTTAGCAGCGATATCGGGGGTTTAGGGATTAACCACTCAATACCCCTCTTATCCTCGAATATCCCCTTAATCCCTTCAAATCTCCATATCTCCTCTATATTCCCCCTCAACGTGTCTTGATATTGCTCTTAATCCACCCAGATCCCTTAATATCTCTGCGAGGGATTTGTTTTGTTGTAAACAAAGTTATAATTTTCTAAATTAATTATTTTTTTTACCTTTCATATATGACTTCATTTCAGTTAATTCAACATTATTAATAGAATAATATTCATATTTAAGATCAAATTCATTAAAAGGTGGGGGTGCTTGAATAAATATTAAATTTAAATAAAATAATAGAATAATTAATAATTTGACACTTTTCATTAACAAATATTTATCTGAATAAAGAAATACTATAAGAAAAACGTTTAACTGTTTTTAGATATACATATTATACTATATAAATTTTAATTTCCCTTCAAAAAAATTATTTTTTTCGACAAGTAACCCTACAACAACGTTCTCTAAGATCTTTATTTATTAAGTCATAGAAGCATACTTTTTTGAAATATTTTTTTGAAAAAAAATATTTTTTTAAAGTTTTCTCTTTAAATTGAGAAAAATAAAATAATAATTCTTTTTTTATTTTTATTCACAAGAGAATGAAAAAATTCACAACTTTAAAGCTTGTTCAAATCTGAAATTAAATAAATTTTTGAATTATTAAAATTAAAAAAAATATTTTTTAAAGTATTTGCCTAATGCTTTAAATAGACTTAATAGTAAGAATATTCAAAAGAAATTAAAAATTTAATATTTCTATTTAAGGAAAGTACGCTTGAATTTAAAGTTTGAATAAAAACAAAATTTGTAGAATATTTTAAAAATTATTGAAGAGTTTAAAGAGAAAATTCATTTTTATTTATTTATTAAGTTCACTTTTTTTAGTAAACCAGGAATGTCACGAATTGAAATGTCGGGGCAGGTTTTTGGTCGGAAAGGGTTCGGTCAATACCGAGATTTGGGAATCCAAAGCGGAATCAGTGGATTAAGGGAGATAGCAAAAGATTAAAAAGATTTGATGAAAATGTCGAGAGAGATGTTAAGAGAGATATCGAGAGATAATTATAATCGCTCCCTCGATATTCCGCCCAAATCCCTTGATATTTCCTCTAACTCGATAAGAATATCTTACATAAAACTTTATTACATAAACAGAATTTAGAAATACAATTTAATGGAAAAAATTCTTTGAAAAAATTCTTTTTCTCTTCAATTAATTAATATTATAATTTTGAGGACGTGCTTGAAGAATTGAAATAATAGTTCCATCAATAGCTCTATGTGTTATTTGTTGTCCAAAATTAATTGTTAAATTATTTTTAATAATTCTGTGTATTTCACTATATTCAAATCTTTCAATATTATTTACATGTTGACATCTAATATAATAAAATATATCAATTGTTCCACTTCTACGTATTTTAATATTTTGATTAAATTGGTCAGAAAATCCTCCCCCATTCATTTGTTGATATTCCCCAATTTGTAAAATTCCGTTAGAATGTACTTGATTTACTGTTAAATTTCTAATTTGATTATTTTGATTTGGATGGTATAAAATAAAATCATATTTCCCTAAAACTATATTTCCGTCGTTTATCTGTTGTCTTAAATGTAATGGACTATTTGGATTTGCTGGTCTATTTGCTTCTTGAAATTTTCCTCTGGCGAAATCAATTGCCTTATATGCATTAGCAAACACCGTCTGACGAAGTTCAGCTTAAAATAAATTTAAAATTATTATATTGTCATTAAATTACTAAATATAATTAAATTTTGTTTAGCCTACCTAGCATATTCGGTAACATATGATTCATTAAAATATTATTTAATGAATAATATTCATATTCAAGAATAAATTCATGCATTGGCGGGGGTGCTTGAATTATTAATATTAAATTTAAATTAATAATTGGAAAAATTATTAAGAGAATATTTTTAAACATTTTAATTTTTTTTTCAAATTTTACTTATTTAAAAGCATTAGAATAGAAATCTAAAAATAAATTTGCAAATCTAAATTGTTATTTTTATATTTAAAGAAGGAAATTCATAGCACGTTCGAGACGAGAATATTTTTAATAAATAATTTTTTAAGTTTAAAAAATATTTTTTAAGAGCAATCCAAACTTTGTAAATATTTTCTAACAAAACGGGAATAATTTTTGGTCTATTTTTAGAAAATATTTCTGTTAAAATATTTAAATTTGATTAAACCTTTTTTAAGCAGTAAATTATTACCCCAGCTGCGCGACAGGACTGTAATTCTTGGAAAATCTCGGATACACGGCTCTAACTGAAGAACCAAGCAGTTAAATCCTTGGTTCTTCCAACTAGTCAAGCTATGATTAAAAGCCTTAAACTTGTTGGCAGTAGGGTGTAGTGATGAGATCCAGAATCTAATGATTACCAAATCCAATTCAACATTTTTCAATTTCAACACGGATGGATAAATTTTTTTCCTAAGAGTATCGTATTATACATATTTAAAATCTTTACACTAATAATTTTATGTCTAAAAACATTGTATATTACAAACTCTTTCCTCCAACATGTTTTTAAAATTATTGAAATACATACATATTAAATATATTTACATTTATTTTATTCTATTTTTTTAAAATAAATTTTACAAAAAAAAAAATAATAAATTTCTAAAAATTAATTTTGTAATATTGAGGTCGGAATTGATTAATTGAAATAATTGTTCCATCAACAGCTCTATGTGTTACTTGTTGAATAAAAGTTAAAATTAAGCTTTCTCTCATAATTCTATGCCTTTCACTATATTCAAATCTTTCAATATTATTTCGATTTTGACATCTAATATAATAAAATAAATCCAAAGTTCCATTTGGATAAAGGGCTATAAGGTGGTTAAATTGGTTTTGAACACCTCCTCCATTTGTATTGTAAGGCCGGGATCATCCTGAAATCACGTGAACAATAATGTCGCTCTAAACTTTGCTTTAGTTAACGGAAGTTCCCAGAGAAAAGGCAAAGAACGCCACAAACGGCCATTCCCAGAGAGTTATTAGCCGCCCATTATCTAAGCTTGTTATCGCCACTAACTTATCCTTGGGAAAGCAATAGGGAAGTAGGCTGGTGCATATAAGCCCTAAAGGAATAGGCAAAGGTAGATCACTTCTTCATTCATTCATTCAACAGAGTTGCCGGCCGGCTTATCCATCGTGTAAAGGGAGAGACGTCTCCCCTTATATTCCCCCACTGCGTGCGATTCACCTATTTCTATACTCTGCGGAGTTCACACATGATTGCAAGCATGCGCGACTCTGCGTATAACATCAACTGAACAACAAGGCACTGGGAAATGGAACCAACCGCTTTACTGGTAGCACCGGATGGTTCCTCACCTTTTGCCAAAAAAATCTGAGTTAAGAATAGGTCGGGGAACTTTTAAAAGATGGAAATTATTATTTATTTTTGGCCTCAAAATCCGCGGTCCATTTTATTATCAGATTATTTTATGAATGAATATTTTTATTTATGCGCTCAAAATCCTAGGTCCCCCATTTTGATAAATAATTAATTTTTTGAATGAAGATTTTATATAATATAAGGGGGTTAATTTTATAGTGATCTATCCTCTGCGGAGGCCATTTATATTAAAAATTATTTTTTATCATCGGAACCCCCCATTTTACATTAAATTATTTAATTTTTGAATGAAGTTTTTAGAAAATATTAGGGGGTAATTTTAAAAGTGATCTATCCTCTGCGGAGGCCAATTATATTAAATTAATTTTTTAGAAGGAAATCTATTAAGAAATAAATAAGTGAATTATAATAATGAAATAGAAAATATAGATCTTAACAAATTATTTTATCCTGAGTAAACCCCTATTTTGTTGATAAATTAAATTTTGAATGAAGATTTTAGAGATATAAGGGGTTAATTTAAGTGATCTATCCTCTGCGGAGGCCATTTATGTTAAAAATATTATCCTTAGAAGGAAAACCATAAAAATAAATAAAAGGATTTTAATAATGAAATAGAAAAAATAAGGAAAAGTATTCCAATCCTCCGAGGAGGCCATTCGAATAAATAATTTTAAGGGGAAAATAATAATTTTAGAAAAATCCTTAAGAAATTTCCCTTCATGAAATTTTAACTACACGGATTGCAAATGAGCATCTCAAGAAGAATATTATGAAATTAAAACTACATATTTTACACCTTCGACAAAACTGTTCTGAATCCCGCGGGATTTTCAAAAATTATTATTTTTAATACTACAGAGCGTTTGAAATGGAAATTATTCTTTGCTACATTTAATGACCTTCAACAAAAGCTATGCTTTTTGTAACAAATTTTTAGATATTTTAAACTTAATTAATTTTTTGGACCTTCTTTAGAATCTTATCAAAATTATTTTTTTTTAAAAGAAAAAATATTTTTTTCTTTTCCTAAGAAATTATGGAATAATATTTAAAAAAAATTTTTTTAAATAAAATGTTCTTTTCGAAAAATATCAAACTTCCGTTCTTTTTACAATTTTTTTTTCTTCTTTAAAATCTCATATTGATTTTCCTTTCATTTAAAAAAAACTTCTTTTAAAAATAATTAAACTTAAATGATTTTAATATAAGCAAAACCCCGCGGGGTGCATTCAAGATAAATTACAGATTAAAAATCAAAAATATAGAAATCACTTCATCTCCTTAAGCATTTTTTTCATGTTATTTGTCATGAAAATACCTCAATTTGCAAAAATCAGAGGTCAAGAAATCAAAAGGAAATTAAATCATAAATTTTCATCAAGTTTAAAAAATATTAACATTTTATTTTTTTTTCTTTAGAAATTGAAAAAAACTATGTTTACTAACTTTCAGGAAAAGAATATTCATTTTCTTACAACTTTTTTTCCCATTCTAGTCAAAGAAATTTTTTTCATTTTTACAAATACATAATTGCACTTAATCAGTTGATGTAAAGTAGCAATTTCTCAATGTTACTTTGTGAATTATTTATTACTAGCTGTTTTATATTCCTTTTTTCTTTTACTTCATCCCCGCGGGGTACAGAAAATGATTCATTATTTTTCTAAAAAATAATTTAATTTTTATCAATAATCAATAATTTATTAAATTTCATAATCTGTGAGGAGGCCCTATAAAAAAAAAGAAAGGAAATTGTTCTTTAATTTTCAATTACTTTCTCAGCTATATTACTTTTTTTTACTACTTTTCTCTACAAATGCGTTTTAGGATGGAAAGAAATTCTTCAAAAAAATTTTTCACAACTACAAAAAATGACATTTCAGGATGGAAATTGGATCCTGTATTAATTTTCAACACTTTCATAAAAAATTTTGCTTTTGTAAGTAAACTTTTGTATATTTAATGAAATCTAGATTTTCTCATAAACAAAATAGGTTAAAAAGTAATATAGCTGAGAAAGTAAAATTTTTCGTTTAGAATGAAAAAAAAATAAAAAGATAATTTAAAAAAATTTTTTTAAGAAAAAGTAGGTAAAAAATTACTTTCCACATAAATAAAAAGTTTCTCTCCCAAATATTTTGAAATAATTTAGTGTAAGAAAATTTTTTTTGGATTTTCTAAGAATTTTTGCTATATTATTTTTCCTTTAGTTTCTAATATTGATTGTTACTTTCTTTTATTAATTAATTTATTTTTTTAACGATAATTAAACCCTGAGGGGTCCATTTAAAAATTAGCTAAATTGCTGGACTTACTAAAATCTAATATATGTCAAAAGAAATAAGAACAAAGTTGTAAAATAGAGTTCATTTTAGTCATCCCGCGGGATTTTCGAAATTTTATTTAATTCTTTTGCAGATAAATTTATCTATAAAATTATCTCGTTTCTGTTATTTCAAACTAGGATTTCCCACGGAAAAATGGTTCTAACATTTTATTGCCTCAATAACGATTTCTTTATGCTCATTTTTCCTTAATTTTACAATAATCTTTTTATTTATTCTATTATTATTTTCTCACTTTTATTTTCCTTTTCTAAAATAAAATTTTTTTAAGGAATTCATAGAAATTTTTTTAAGGAATTCATAGATTCTCTAAATTTTATCAAAGAATTTACCTCAAAATATAATAATTGATTTAAATAAAAAAATGGTTTATTTTTGTTTTAGATAATCCATCAGAAAATAAATCTTAAATAGATCTTGCTAGATATCATTAAAAATACATATCTTTAGAAAGTCAATCTGGGTGATGAAAGTTTATAATAAATAGAAGGGTATAAAATTTAATGGAAAATATAAGTAATTCAAACGGCCGTGGAGGCCATATCCATAATTACAAATTTTTCAAAAAAAATTTTTTAGACATGTTTATTTTCAAAAATTCTTTATATATCTTTCGCTTATAATCGCTCTTAGAAATTGATTTTTTTTTTATTCGTTTAATCATAGAGATATATTTTTCCTTTTTTCGTTTATTTTCTGTTATTTTCAATTATCCCCGCGGGGCACAAATAAAAGTAAATATTCAAGGCTTTATATCTTATTCTCTCATTTATTTTGGCGGAAACTAAATTTTTATTCATAAAATGATCTATTAACATTTTATTCCATATATCAAATGTCCAGTTAATTGTATTCTATTTGAAATTAAAGCAAATGTATGATACAGAATAATTATAAAGACATGTTCAGTTTCCCAATTAAAAAATTAATTTTCACTAAATAGTGATAAGTTTAGTAGTGAGCAATTTATTATTGAAGGTAAAAATATTTCATTGAATATTTTTAATATTTTTAGAATAAAATTGATTTATCCTTTTGATAAATTAATCGCTATCAAATTAGTCCTAAACGCTGTTTCAGCCCTGCGGGGTCCTACAATTTTAAAACAATTAGTGCATAAATTTAGTCATATCGAAAATATGTAGTAGCCATACATTTGAACGCTTGTCAAAAGATATTTTTAACTCATGATCTATTAA